TGTTGAGTTGGAAAGGAGCCGGTTACCTATCAGTTTGTGTAAACCGTCAAAAGAGTCCCTACAGCCAAGTTTGCAGTCTTCAAAAAAGTAAAGCCCTGGCACAAAAGAAGGAGCAGAGGAGGAGGGAGAAGGAAAAGAAGCAGCCCCGCATGCAGCTTCTCAATGTGGTGGGATTCTGCCCCCTGGTGGAGAAGGTGGGAGTCAACAGTTGCAAAGCCCACTGGAACTGACTTCTTAAGAGGGGAACCAAGCCAGTCCCACTCTTGGTTACCATTTGTAATACCAGCAGACAAGATGTGGGTCCTTCTCTTCTATGCTTGCCCAGGGGAGGGGATGGAACAAATCTCACACCCTCCCACTGAAGCTTTTGCGGCATGGAAACAGGTCTGGATGTAAAGGTCGTCCGAAAGCTGAAGAAGAGAGAAGCAAGTCATGAAACGTTGCACGGACAGGTTGGGGGTTGCAAAGCCCCTTCCGCGGACGTCAAGAGCAGCAAAGCACAGTGAGACCGAAAAGCCGAGGGAAATGGACGTAATTCTCCGTTCCCGTTAAAAGCACGCAGGGGCGACCTTCAGATAACTCTGGGAAGTCTGCCTCTTGCGGCTGAAGTGGAGCCGAAAAGAAAACCAGTCTTCCTTGTGAGATGAAGAATAAGGGGCCGCGAAAAGGAAGAAAAAAGGAGAAATGGTGTGTGCCTTTTATTGTGGCAGCTGGTGGCCGCTTTACGTTATCGTGAGCCGGGCAGAATCGTTTGACAGTTGGCTTTTGTTAGGCTAGCTGGCAGGGTGCCGTGGAGTGGATTATTATGGGTAGCCGGCTTCCATCGCACTGGCAGTGCTGGTATCCCTCAGCCTCTGTGGGAGGCTTCCCGCTGCGATCTTGTGTACAGGCCTCTCTTTTGGCTGCAAGGCCTCCTTTGAATAATAGGCGTTGCATCTTTCGCAGTGTTGGCGTGACGTCCCCTCCCCCCCCCCGGTGTGTGGCTTTGTTGTCAGAACGGCTCAAGAACCTTGCAAGATGGCTTGCATAGAAAGTCTGGCCCCTGAAAACGTCGTCCTCCCCAAATGCTCATGCAGTGGAAGGTTGCTGGTCTTGATGCACAGCACTCCAAGGTGTGCATGTGTGTGTGTGTTTGTGTGTGTGTGTGTAGAGGGAGGTGTTGGCCCTATTAACACACACACACCCAAGGCCTGTGAGAGGGAGGTGTGGTTATCTCAGATGGGTTGTTGGAGATCAGCCTGGAGGCTGGCGCAGGAAAGCCGCTCCGGGTTTGAGTCCGAATTCTGAAAGAGCTGCCCCGGGTGTTGATCTGCACTTTGGATTACACTCCTGTAAAGGTTTGGACTCAGACCTGACAGCAGACGGAACACGCCACGGGTGTCGGAGCCACCCGCTTCCACAGTTTAGAGGGCTAGAAGAGCCTTCAAAAGCTTCTGCCTGTGTGAATGTTGTTCGCCTTCCGGGTGCCGCAAAAGTCTGTAACTCGGACCGAGATGGCCAATCCACCTGGAGCAGATCCGGGGACCCGTAGGGTTGATGTGAGTGCCCACTCCTCTTTGAATGGTTGGCCTCCTCCAAATACGGTTAGCAAATGCATATAAAAAGCCTACTTTTTTTTCCATAGTAGGCGACATAGCTACTTCTGTTTTGGGAACGTCCAAGATCTAAATGGCTGTTTTTAATGAGATCACTAAAAGTGTTCAAAACAGGTTTCTTTCTTCTTTGGGTGCAAGTCAACACTGCTGGACAGGACACCGCAGCAAAGCGAAAAGGGAGGAAGGAGTTGCCTTCCTGATGATGTGGTTGGGCTGCAGCCCCCTATCAACCCTATGGTGAAGCATGATGGGAACTGTAGTCCAGGGACACCTGGCGAACCCCACGCTCTTCCTCCGGCAGGAAAAGGCAGGCATAAATTCAGCATTACTGGTGGCGATGCATTTGCCAGCTTCCTTCTCTCTTAAATCTCCTTTGGGGGAAGAGCTCCTTTTTGCATAATTCAGGAGATGCTCAAGATCAGCCCTGTAGGATTTCTCCTCTCCTCTCTTGGCTGACAGAGATTTCAGGTTGATCGCTCGTGCTGTACCAGGAAGGTCAAGGTGCGCCAAACCTCAGCTCTTCCCCCACAACCGCTTTTGCAAAAAGAAGGCTATTCGCCCTGTTTCTTCCTTGCTTGGCAAACAAGAGCCGGGTGAAGAACCAGATGTACTACTATATTTCTGAAATGCTAGGTCTGTCGAGTCCTGGAGTCTGGTGCCACCTAGGAGCCTCATCGTGGATTGCTACCACTTCCCTCCCTCGTTTGTTTTCTGTGCTAAACCTGTGGAGAGCGAAAACAGCACATCTTGCTGAATGGATGAAGGCTGAAGGGAGTCTCGCACCAGTCTTGCTGAACCAACTGGAAGCCACTTAATAACCTCTGAAGAGAAGTCGGAAGATCAAAGAATGATTGGATACAGAAGAAATCTTCTGTGACTGTAGAGAAATTCAGTCAGCGCCACACTTACATGCATGCAATATCTTCTGTGACTGTAGAGAAATTCAGTCAACTTGGGGTACAGCCAAAGAGAATCAGTGGATTCTGAGCCTCAGAAATGGGCAGTACATCTTTTACATAGTTTATTATGGATTCTGAGCCTCAGAAATGGGCAGTACGGTACATCTTTTACATAGTTCATTACATTATCTTTATATTTTTACTGGCCAGAAATGAGAAGCAGGTGTGTGTGTGTGTGTGTGTGTGTGTGTGTTTTGTCCAAGTACCAAATAATCCGGTGAGTTTTACGTTCTGTGTTCCTTGATCTCAGGCAGCAAAATATATGTATCAATGGCTCTGAGCCTAACACAGTACACAACATCTTCCTGGATCATCTCTTTCTGGTGGTTCAGCAAAACCCGCAAAGGTTAACGCAAGCCGGCAAATATCTGAGAAGGAAAGTCACATTCGGACTCCTTTGGAAGCCTAGAAGAGTAGAAAGCAGGGCTAAAAGGTGACCTTCTTAGGAATGGATGTCCCTGGTTCCCAGCTATAAACTATCTCAGAACTGACACCAGGTTTTCTGGTGAAGGACTCACGTAAGGGATTCTTAATGGGCATGTTGGACAGGGAAAGGATTAAGAGGCGCTTGGAACAAAATAAATGAACAGAGCCAAGGAAGAGAGGTCAAAACCATCCCGAGCAAAGGTGAATCACATACTTTTGAGGGGTTGCGTGATTATCTCACAGCTATGGGGTGTCCCCCTCCCCTCCAGAAGGATAGTTTGACCAAACGTGAGCAAAGGTTAAGCTGGGAAAAAATCTGTTTCGCTTCCTCCCATTTAAAAAAAAATGTAGATTTCTTTTTATTTTCTCCTTACATCGTCTGTGTAAGACCTGTGCGGATTTTAGTAAATTCTTCCCAAACAGCTGGAAATGAAACCTCCCAGATTCAGTTATCCCCATCAGTTTCGAGACCGAGGAGGACCGTGTTTTATTGGGATGCTGTGTGGGGATTCTAGATGAAGACGTCAGGGGGGAAAATAATGATGGGAGGGCCAAAATCCTGGTTGAAATCACACCAGTTCCAAACCCAGACTTTTTACATGATAAAACAATCACAGCTGGATGAATCTGTCAGATTTGATTTAGTTTAACCTTTGGATTTTTCTTTATAAAAGTTCAAGGTTTTTTTCCAATATTCTTTCAGTGCATCCCCCATCTTCATTTATTTTCCCCTTCCCTGTTAGGTTCTCATCATGCGTAATTTCTAGACCCATCTCTTTCAAAGTGGTGCCCTCCGAGCTGTTGGACTCCGGCTCCCATAATCCCCATCCCCAGGGACCATTCTGGCTGGGAGTGATGGGAATGGAAGGCCAGGGCATCTGGAAAGCGCTGCTTCTGGAGGGGAGTCTGTTCATGATTGTGAACTCCTTTTTTTAAAGGAGAAAGGCAGGCCGAAAATACTTTAAATAAATAAATAAATAAAGGAGACAGGGTTATTTTGTCTTTCTTCTCTTGCCTTGAGACGTCCTCTTGGAGAGGCTTCAAGAAATGAATCGAATCAAATAGAATCAGAACTTATCATTCGATTCCCCTCAGCCACTAATTTCCTGCTCGCTGGATCTATAAGAAGCAGTCGGTGTTTCTGGATCAGGTCATAGCAAAATCCCATTTACCAGGAGTTAGATTCTGAAATGTTGCTTTGTGTTTGGACTTTGAGGGTTGGGGGGGAGGAGAATAAATTCAGCAATGCTTCTAAACAACAGAATAAGTGATCCATGAAGTGGCTGTAATAGGCCTCCCACCGTTTCTTCTGTGGGTTCGTCTCCCGGCTAATGACTCCACTGATAGACAGCACTATTAAGCAGTCATTAGGAGCATGTCTGGAAAAAAAACGCCTCACGACCATGTTTTATTGACTATACTCCAGGCTCCCATGATGCAGGGAAGGTCACAGCGTGGTTTGCACAAGAGAGGGTAATGAGTTTATTTTCCTGCACGCCGGAGGGGATACCAAAGCCAGTGGCAACTTATCAGCTTCTTTCACATTGGGGTTACCCATCTTGTGATTCCTTTTTTTTACTTAAAAATTGTTTTTTTGTGTATGCATAGACGTAAAGGATCTTCTCCTCCCCGCCGCTGCCCAGAAATGCCTAGATCAGATCCTGTACCTGCTCATTCTTGACCTCCTAGTTTTTTCAAGAGACCAAACCCCCAACTCCTTCCCTAGACTTTGGGGAAAGTTTGTTAGGAGACCACGCATTCTTATCATGAGGACTAGCGATGTGGCTGTGTTTTGTCGGTTGCTGCGAAAGAATCCCGAGACAGAGTATGCGCGGTTGAACCAAATTTTGGCTTCAGAATTTTGTTCTGCAAAAACAGAAAGGCCTGGAAAGCAAGTGAGTCACTTCTAGCACTTCCGGAAATGAGCTTCTCATTCTGAAATATTTTATGGAAATGTATGTGGGGGGGGGAACAAAATCACTAACCTTTCTCTTCCTTTTCTTTTCCCCCCGCGTCCTAGTGTTCATCATGGGATTTGGGCTTCTGGTGTACCCTTTCGGCCTCGGCTCGGCGACCGTGAGGAGGTACTGTGAGGATGCCAGCATCTACTATGCAGGAGATTGCCAAATCGGATGGGGGTACATGCTCGCCATTGTGGGGGTCATGCTGTCCGTTTTTCTGCCGTTCTTTGCAAAATATGCACCCAAAGAGCACTCCTCTCCGACACCCATCCCGACAATTTTATAGCATTTTGGGTGACCGTTCTTGGAACAATCTGAACATTCCCGCTTGAAATCAAGGGACAGCGGCGTGATCCAAGCTCTTCCTTTTAGCTTGGCTACAGAAAGAAATGGCAACCGCGGGCGCACCCAGGAGTCTTCCAGAGGCATCGAATCTCACACTCCGGATCTGCAATCAACAGTTGCCCAGAGGTGGATGGAGTGGCCTCAAACATACACACAGCGGCTATTGCGAATAGCATTAAAGGGGGGGGGAGGAAAGAGAAGTCTGGTTTTATCCTCAAAATATCTGTCTACCTCCCAGTTTTGTTTGTGTGTCGAAATCTTTTTTAGAACCTCGATCCAACTTTTGTATCTCCTTGTTAAATATCTGAACTTTTTTGAACCTGTCCTTCCCCATCTGTGCTATTTGTGAGTTGCAAGAAACGGAGGCGGGAAATGCTCACAGAGTAGTTTGTAACAATTAATGTGCTGTTGTTTCCAAAGTTGTGGTGATGCTTCCAAGGTTTTTGTAGGCATAACGTCCCCAGAAGTGGGTTCCGGGTGATCAGTGTGACACTTGTCCAGACCCACACAGCCATGCGTGTTCCTTCCGCGTGTTCTCATCTGGTCCCCCGCTCCGGAGAACAAGGTGGCGATTCGAACCCCCAGCCCCTGTTTCTGCAGCCAGGGGCTCCAAGCCGCACAGCTACGCCAGCTCAGTTTATCAGTTTAGTGTGGGCAAAAGAAAAAATTGGAGTGCAACAGAAACAGGGCATCCTTTTTCCCTTCATTGCTTCGATCGGTGGGGTGGCCACCTTGAACATTTGCAGCAATGCCATATTTGGCATTGGAAAGCCTCACTTTCTGAGCAGGCGACGGTCGTTATATCATCTTTCTTGGCCAAAACGGTGTTTCTGTCCCTAAAAGAGTGGAGCCGGCCGTAGTTCAAGGGGTCATAGGAGCAGAAGGAGGAGACAAAGATTCCGTAAGGAGTGACGGAAAATTATTGGCATGGTTTAAGGGAAATTGAGGATCGGAGAGCCGCAAAGCGAAGACATGCAGGCTGGCAAGGTTTCCCAGAAATACCAAGCAGCCCCCAAGGGTGAAAAAAGTTCAGGTCCTAAATGAAAATTCATTTCCACTGGTAGATGTGCCTCTCTGATCCTCCGCAGCTGCCCTTCCCAGGTTTAAAGCCAGGGAGGAGAAGTTTGGGCTCAATATGGCCCATGGAAGCATCGAGCCAGGGGCCTCTGCCAAGCAAAATGGTCTACAGAGTCAACTAGCATCTGCAAGATTTCAAATCTGCCTTCTCCTCCTCCTCTGCCTAGGAGTTGAAGGAGCAAAATTAGCTGCAGTGTCCCCCTGTATTTGCAAAGAAGGCTGGCTGAGCCCCAGTTGAGTCAGGCTTCGACCCACGCCTGAGGTCCTCCTTGTTCAGATTCCCCGACTCTGTTGAAAAGCAACGCTCTTGCCATGTCTTCTGTATCGGAGAAGGGAAGAGATTTCTTAGTATTTCATTGCACCTCTTGTCAGCCACCAAAGGAGAGGGCTTTGAAAGAAGCAATTAGACACATTGACCCACAAGATGGCCATCACTAGCCAAATCCAGTGAAACTGAAGGCTGCTCTCCTGCCATTTCATAGTATGGAAGAGTGAACGTCATCAGCGCTAGCTTGTACAACTTAACACCAGCAGAGACATTGTCTTCCACCCAGTTATTAAAATCAGAGAAGCCTTGATTTGTGTATGTTTCTTGCTGCCTAGTCCTGACTTGAGAGAACCTGCAGTATCAGTGGCAATCTATCTTGGAATACTAGCCATTGGGGGACACTTGCAGCCAGACGCTGTTGCCCTCACGGCATGCTTGTGGAAAAATTGGATGTTAGAATAGGTCGGCTTTTGGTTTGACGGAGCAAGGCTTGGTCGCCTCGAATTCTTAACTATAGCAACACAAGAAATGTGTGTCAAAAGTCTCTCTTGGAGGCTTTAGTGGAAGAAAAGCAATGTGCATTATGTTTTTTTTGGGGGGGGGCACATCCTTGGCTCAGGTGCCCGTTGCTAAAGATAAAGGGTGGCTCTCTGTTAGCCACCAAACTTGCTGGAAACAAGAGGTTCCTAAGAAGGGGTTGTGTGGAACACAAGGATGGATTTCAGAATCAGAAAGGCCTGTTTGATCATTTCTGGGTTTGATTTTTGAAACCCTTTTTTTGAGCATTTCCAGGCCTGATGGAGCCTGCACCACTTTTACACAGTGTAGAAAATGTAGTGAAAGAAAATGCTTTGTTTAACTGAACTGTTCTTTTTTAAAAAACATGGGATTAACATGCAGGAATTTGAGCCACTGAAAACAATTCAGGTTTCCTTATTTGATTTCTTTCAGCAATAATATTTAAATTTTTTTGCCCAAAGTTCATGTGCACTTCACCCCACATTTTACAAATTGGGAGGAGGGAAATGGAGAGAGTCAAAGCTCATTGGCTGTTAGTTGGTTAGGACCTTTCAGCCTCTGTCTTGCAAGATGCTCCTGTAAGGATTAGAGGACTTAATCTGCTTATTACGCCAGAAAAATATGTTATCTCCGGATCATAAGTTAAATTGGATGCCAGAGAGGGAGTTGGTTTCTGCTTGAGGATTGTATTGATCCATCAGAATAAGGTCGGTGTTCCTCCCAGCTTGTGTGGACATGAATATCTGGGTATTTCTCCCCCCCCAAAAAAAACCCTCCAGGTAAGGGCATCTCTGATTGCAGTCTTGGTAGAGTTGACGCTTTCCCTCCCATCCTCATGAAACTGACTCTGGCATGGCGAAGGAAAAGCAAATTCCCAGCTATTTTAGGAATAACATGCACTACGGTTGCTCTGACTGCCAGCCGTTGTATCCAACACACCGTTTGCCTTAAGCTGAACAAAAAAAGCAATTGGGAGGCTCTGATCGCATTTGATTTCACTGGAAACAGATGCTTAGTTTTTTCATATTTGCAGGATGAAAATCGAGAATGGCAGACTGTTTATTAGCAACAGAACAGAATGTCCTTGATTTACGGGTTAGCGGTGACAGTAGCTGGCTTCTTCCAGTGAAACTAAGCAAGGTAGAAGCCAGAATATTTAACTGTGTAGTTACGGGTTAGCGGTGACAGTAGCTGGCTTATGATTTTATCTTCCGGTGAAACTAAGCAAGGTAGAAGCCAGAACATTTAACTGTGTAGTCTTAAACCTCTCTCTCTCTCTCTCTCTCTCTCTCTGGCCCTTCATTGATTGAAACATTTTCTCTAGGATGGAACAATTCTGCCACTTTAGTTTAGTTCTCTCTTCGTTTCTCACTTTTCCGAGCCTCAATTGACTTGATTTTCGACCCCTGAGAATATTTCCAATCTGCAGTTTGAGTCTTCCCGGGCCATGAGTCTTTTGTTTCGTTTTAAGGCTTGCATGAAAAACCTATGCACAGTTTTTTTTTAATGTGCATCTTTCTTGTTTGTATTTCCTTTTGCCTACTATGCAGAATTTCGGTAAGCAATTTTCCCTAACAGGATACATTGGTATATGCATTTTTTTCCACAGGGATATTTGCCGGCAACAAGAACGAACAACATCAGCAAGTCCAGGGGGCAGTTTTGTAGTTTTATTTCCTGCCACAAAAACTACTGTTATGTGAGTTTTTTCTGCCAACAGGCTTCCCTGTACACTTTACTGGAACAGTTTGGACTTCTCTGTACAGTGTACATATCAAACAGTCGCTCTCCAATATCTGTTCTTTCAAGCTGGGGGTGGAAGTTAGCTTCATGACTGCTGCGTAGGGCCAACCTCCTGAAAGTCTACCTGCTTCTTCTGCTCAAAGGAGGGCACATGTAGCTTCTGTGGTGGCCATGGACCACCAGTCTGGTGTGGCTTCCATCACAGCTACTCAGAACTACGTACAATCCTGCATCAAAGCAAGGGCAAAAGTTGTTTTGGGGGATGGCCTCAGGGGTCAACCAATCAGCACCGCACAGAATCCTGCCCCAGGCAGGTCTAAACAGGCTTCCATCGCTCCCACAAGGGAGAACCAGTTGACATTGTGCAGAATCCTGTTATATACTGGGCTGAAGTGGATGGCCAACCAATCAGTGTTGCGCTCAAGTCTTTCTCCAAGAAGGTCAAAAATGGCTTCCTTGACTGCCTCCAGGGCCGGCTAACCAGCACCACTCCCAGCCAGAAATCAATCCAGGGAATGAAGAAGGAGCGTGTGTCTGAATTACACGGAGTGAGCTCTTTCCTCAAAGCTCAATCCAGGGAATGAATGTCTGAATTACATGGAGTGTGCATCCGCCATGAGACGGTTGCTGAAAACCATGTGTGCACACACCCTTAATTTCAGTTCTTGTCTTGATCTCTACCACATTGAACTGAAAACCATGTGTGCACACACCCTTAATAATTTCAGTTGTTCTTGTCTTGATCTCTACCAGATTGAATACAGTATATCTCAACTGCTGAATGATCCGTTGGTGTTTGGGCAAATCCCTTTGATCCAGCGAGTCTCCTTTCGTTGATAGAAGCAGTTGGATTTACAGCTTTGAGCCTAGAATGGGTTTCTAGATTTCACAGAACCAAACGGCGCTGTAAATGGCAGACATAAATGACTGGGGCAATGAGGCAGTTTTCTCACAAGCTTGTGATAATGCAGGGAATAAAAGAAAATCATGCAACAGGTAGGAACAACAACGTTATCATTGACAGGGAGAGGGGGGGAATGGACGGTCGCCATCGTTTCTTTCCTAACCAACCTGTGCCTTTTTGTCAATAGAACAAATGTACAGAAAAGGATCAATAATGGCCATTAAGTAAAAGTGTTTGTCAGATAGTGAATAATACTGTAGAGTGTTATCAGAACTGTATTTCTGTATGTATGTGGCTAAGTGTGTGTGTGTTTATTTTTAATTTTTTAAGAATTGTTTCATGTAACGTTTTCAGTTGGTCCCTTAAATATTTCCCTAGAAAGGCAATTTGCTGGCATGTGCAAGGAAAATTGTTAAGGATTTTTGGTGCTCTGGTCTTTGTTTCTGTGAAAAATTAGGAATTCTCTTAGCCGAACTGAGTGCATGTATATCCCATAATATTTCATTTTAATGGAGGGAGTCTCTTAGGTTTATTTTTTTTTAAGATTCTTTATGGAATACTCTTGTAATCAAAACAACATTGTATTTAAAATAGGCTTTGAAAACTTGAATGCAGGAAATGATGTTAATTTTTTTTCTTTTTTCCCCTTTGAAGTGTATAATGAGAAAAAAACACAAAACAGTGCTTGTAATTTTGTATCCTTTTGTATTCTTTCATGTATCCTTTTCAAAGTATTATTTGTTACTGTGATTTGAAACATGGGGAGTAATTGATTTTGTATTTTTTTAGTGTCAGTCCTGGAAATGTAGCTACAGTATTCAGGTAGGAGAAAATATCTATATTTTTTCCCTGTTTAAAAAAAAGATGAACATAACCTACTAGTTGCCATCTTTTTGTGTACATCTGTGGTTTGGATGCTAAACCCCCTTCCTTGAACAGACAGTCTTCCTTCTGTAATAAATGGGATTTTTTAAAAGAAATTTTTATGGAAGTCCCTGAAACATTCAAAGAAGCAGGGAAAAGACAAAGATGTGGATTACAATTCCAGTTTTAAGAAACATTTGAAAAGTTCTGATAAGAACTTGAGCAGAAGCGTGAAATTGCTACCCTCCAGTGGGTGTCAGAAGTTATCACCGTGCTCACATTCCCACAGCATAAATCGCACACATATACAGAGAGCAAGGCTTTCCCCCAAAACGGTTTCTTCTCTTTCTTGAAAGGAGATCTTTTCAGGTAGAAGTGTCCAGTGTGCCTCCTATTTCTTTCTCAGTTTGCTTTTTTGTCTTTAATAAGTGTTCCTCCAGTGGCCGGCCATTTGAAAAACGCTGTTGAACTGCTCGGTTTGAAAATGCAAGCCATCTCTGTTGAGAAGTAGGTTGAAATTAGAGCCAGCCGCGAACCTGAAAATTCATGGTTGGCCCTGTTAGAGCTCATTCACGTATGCAACTGAACTGCATGATATTCATGGTTTGCTTGGTTAGTGGGTTTTTTTTTAATATATGTGTTGTCAAACATGGTCTTGCAGAAACGCAGTTACCCAAAGTGAAGCAGCTTCAAAATGGGTATCAAATGTTAAAAACTAGCAGCACAGGTAGGACTCATGGATGGGTAATTTGACACTGAAATAAAATGAGGGAAAGAAGACTTGTTTTGGAGAGTCAGGCTGCAAACCTATGCATAAGAATAATTACTGATTGAACCTGGAGTTTGCAAAGCTGCATTAATGCAAAGATTCCCTTGGGAAAATCATGTCAGTACTTTGACTAGTGCTGAGAAATCATTTTAAAAACAAAACAAACACACTGTGTACATTAAATTGTGGATAATGGGCTCCTCCCCCCCACTCCTTTCTGGAAAATAACAACTTACTGGTTCAGGTTCCCGTTTTATTCTAAATCTATATATAAATCTATATAAATAAAATTTTTATGTGTAACTAAAAGCTGTATTTTCCATTACTGTGGTTTCTGTATTTTTGTCTAGGTGGTTCCTTTTTTTAAAGACTCTGAACTCCCGGCTCCCTTGTACTTGACTTGTCTAACAAAAATATTTCCGATAATTTGAAATGTGAATTTTATGACTTGCCGACACTGTATTACAATAAAGCAATCCATGCTGTTGATCGAGTCTCCTTTCCTTTTTGGGCCAATTGGGCGAGACCTCGCCTTTTTAGTTACTGCAGGAGGAAGAGAAGGGAGAATCGGGTAATGGATAACGCCTGGACCTGTCTCGGTCCCGGGCAGATCATGTTGGTGTTAACCTTGTACCGATGCGCGGGGTTTTTTTGCATTAAAACAGAGATTGTTGTGTTCCTTTTAGTGTGCAGAGAAATTTTAAATTTTCAGTCAGTGCAAGGAGGAACTGCTGTTCAGACCACATGGGCAGACCCGGCTCTACCATAAGGCCGAGTGAGGCAGCAGCTTCAGTCGGCAGAAGCTGGGAGGCGGCAGGGCAGTGTTGCTTCAGAGAACGATGTAGTACACTGTGCAGCTTTGTGCTGGTTCAACTAGCTTAGTGCTTAAGCAATGTTCTCCTGTGATCAGGATTGATTAAATCCTGCCTGTGTGGTGGTCCTTTGTTACGTGGAAAGGGCATTTTCCCATTCCCCCGCCCCCCCGCAAGGCAACAGAATAGGTCAGACTGACTCTAGAAGTGTCTAAAGATAGGCAGCTAAGAGTGGTGGAATTCTGCTTCAAGAGAGAGACACCAAGAGGCCCAGCATAAAACCTGGCATTGCAAGGAACAGCTTACCTGTAAACTAAAGAGGGACTAATCCAGACCTTTGAAATATGCAGTTAAAAATGAATGAGTTACTTGCAGTTACTGAATTAAATCAATGGATTGATCGCTCCTCCAAACATTTGGGAAAGCTGAAGGTTTGGCTCTGTGTATGACTTGTGTAGCAGATAAAAACAGTTTATAAAGCATTTAATCTCTGACCATGACATTCTTGGTGAATATTTAGAATCTTTTAAAAAGCTGCCTCCTTTAGAGTAATTTTTTAGAAACTGCATGGAATAAGGGGAAAGGTGATAGTCTGGAATTAGTATTGATTCTGTGATTGCTTCCAATCCATTTGAGTCAGTGACAAAATTAGTTGTGTATTTCTGCTACAGTGGCTTGAATGAAATGGCAATAGGCATTCTGGATGTGGGAAGGTGACCTTAAATTTCATTTTTAGCCATCATAACTGGCAAAGGGGACCGGTCTAGCTCTGCCTTTTTACTCTCCCATACTATTTTTTCTTATTTTTGGACAGCCAAGGTCACGTGGGAATATGAAAAAGTTTGGCTGAATCCTGCACTCTGTTGCACTGGGTTCCAGAATTCCCATGTCAGCCTTTTGTGATACTGTATTAGAAAATCTTTCCCTTCCTTTAAACTCTACATCGCTTTAAGAAAGGGTGTTTTGTTTCCATTGCGGTATCCCAGTAGAGTTTGGAAAATGTTATCTCCCAGAATCCAGCCTGTTTTTCCCCACCGAAAAAAGGGATTTTTTTTTCCTCTAAGCTCCAGGTCTCACAACAACGTTTTCTGCTTTTGAAGTTGCTATTCTAGCTTGAAAGGCTAATAAACCAGCCTGATAGAGAAAGCTCAATGGAAACAAACTAGAACTACTTTATTTTTAAGCAACGTGTAATGAGGATGATGGCGGAGATCTCAAACACAAAAAGGGACAGGAGGAAATACCTTGCACTCAAGTTAAGGCTTCCGATGGGGTCTCCTTGACAGGGCGGAACCCGGATGCTTAAACTTCATTGCTGACTTTCACATATTTGCCCATCTCCCTGTCAGCGACTTGGACAAAGTCCCGGAAGGTTTGTTGTTCAGGAACCGTTGCAGGACGGACCGAGACGCACTTGAAGACTTTCCGTTGCGGGTCGTAGTTTCCCACGCACCGATGGACTCGGCCTCTGATGAGTCGTGGTAGCTCTCGATCCTGACGATGGAGGCAAATATATCAAAGGTTACAGCCTTTCCTTTTCTCAACCCTAAAGACGCTCCTTATAGCTCAGGGGTTCAGGCGTTTGGCTGTGGAGCCAGAAGTTAGGAGTTCGATTCCTCCCAGGGCCTCCTTGAAAGGGGCTGGACTCAATCATCCTTTGTGTCCCTTTCAGCTCTGCAGTTCTAAGATTAATATTATTCTGCATTGGAGAGCACTCTTAACACAATATATATCTAACATAACTATGAGTCGCTAGTTATCAGTTGGCCAAAGAAAACTAGATTTCAAAAGAAGTGTAACCCCGATGAATGAAATTACTCTATTGGTGTAAGAAGTAACATCTTCCAATTATTTTCAAAGGCTTAAAGGGGTATTTTAAGACCTTTGGGGGCATTTTCAGACGAATTTTCTGTATCATTCTCTTTTCAGTCCTAAGATTTGGTTTCTTTTTTTAAAAAAGTAATAGCATATAATGAAAAATTACAGACTAATTTTAAATAAATATGGAAAACCCTTACGATCTCATAGAATACGCATGACACGCTCTCCTTTCCGTCTCTCAGAAGGAAAGTCTTTGCACCGTACGATCCTGGAGTGACTGCAGAATCCAGAACACCTGCATGGAAAGGGAGGGCGGAAAGATTGCAGACATAAAGGTATTTTTGAAATAAAGCATTCTTTCTAAAGGTCACTGTTGTTAAGAAGCGAGAAATGGGGTGGAAATCTCAAATGCCAGCTAGGAAGACCATCTGTCCTCTCCAGTTCGAGTTTAGTTTACTTTGAGGAAAATGTCCTTTATGAGAGAGAAACAAGGCCTTGACATTGTGAGTATGTATGTGTGTGTACATGGACACAAAGACAAGTAGAGAAGGACTGCCTGATGGTTAGGAAAGATGCATATAATCCATCAAGTCCTTCAGATTATTAAAGCCGCTCATCCTGGTTTTTTGGAGCTGGAAAAACTGCAGACATTTGTGGGAAAGTGCAATGTTGTGCAGAAACAATTTGATGATTTTGCGAAAATACCATTCTCGAGATTATTAAAGCCGCTCATCCTGGTTTTTGGAGCTGGAAGAACTACAGACATTTGTGGGAAAGTATGCAATGTTGTGCAGAAACAATCTGATGATTTTGCAAAAATACCATTCTCTCATTGGCTTTGCTAAGAACACCAGTTAGTATTTGCCTTTAGTTGTCATTAGGCAGCCGAATATAATGATTCCCCATCCTTGCTGGAGAGCACGATGCAAGTGGGGACTTTGACAACTACTCTCCTGACAAGCCCATGGGTCGTATAATCACGGTCTTCCTCATTTAGGTGAAAAGAGTCTTCCTCGTTGCAGTATATATGTGAAGGTGTCTTGTATTTCTGTTCCACTTCTACCCATGTTTCTAAACCTGCCATCTCTCTTAACGCACACTGGAATGTGCAAATTTTCTGTTAGTGTGGGCCCTCTTTTCTCCTCTCCTTTGAGGATATATAAATGCCCTTCCCTCATCACAGGATTTAGCAAACTTAGGCATTCACACCTTGGCAGGTACGTAGTTCTCTATCAAAAGCCCACCCAACCCCAGGGATCCTGCTGGCTCATTTTCTGGCTATTTGGTCAACCACCCTCTGAAAAGTAGTGTTACTGGTAATAATCTTAACAGGTCACCCTCTTCTCCCGTCCTTGGTAATGTTTGTAAAATCTCTATGAACACATGAACTGAAATGAAATTCTTTTTCCATTACAGCCATGCCCTAGAACTGCCCAGTATTCAAAGAGCTGAGTTTGCTGACTAAAATATCAGGAGGGGAAAAAGCAGCAATTGTCTTAGGGATTCCTCTGTCCAGTGAATAATGACAACAGACACAGAATCTATTGTGCGCTCTGATACTTACCCAAAACCTCATACAACAGTGGGGTTTTGTCAGCGTACTGACTCCAGTGTTTCATGCTTTCGATGACGACAGAGATGATTCTGAGAGAACTGTCTTTTTCTTTCAGTTTGGCTTGATTTGCCAGGCTTTGCTTTCCCAGGGAGACAAATGAACAAGACCTCAAGTCAGTGTGAATTCAGGTGAGTAAACGTTACGGTATTTAATTCCCCCCCCCTCCAAAAACATTTGGTTTTCTGCCACCCCAGACCAGGCTAACCCCTGATGACCCAGGACAGGCGGTGGGAAGGAAGACATTGCCCCCAAACACAGGAAAGCAATTTTCACATTATCCTTACGTCAGGGCAAAAGCGTGGGCTGGTGTGGGAACTTAAACTGGCTTAATCTAAATTTGCTCACTTGGCAGAAAGGAAAATAAGATCTTAATTTTTTTAAATTAAAAATCTGTACAAGATGGTTAAAAGTGGGGAAAGGACTAGTTCAGTCAAGGAAGTAATTTGATTTTCCTAAAGTCTTTAATGTCCAGAATTGTCTTAAGAAAAAAAACAAAACCCTGCAATGAATAAGTTAAAAGTGAGCAGCAAAAACAGCCAGTTTGTTGAGGAGATGTGCGGGCCCTGCTTATTTTAAGAAAGAAAAGTTAACTATGCATTTGAATTTTACCTGGATCATTTTGCCCTCTGGGCGAGTGGCTGTATGAACTTTTGGTTGGCACTGATTCTGTTTGAACGTATATGTTGCACTTTGGCGCGGTGGGCCTCTTCTCGGCATGTTGTTCGATGCCGTTGGCTGTTGGACTGCTGTTGCATAGCTTTGTTCTGCCGCTCCTGTCTTGCTGCTGGGGGAGGTCCTTGGGTGACCAGCTAGTTTCTGTGGCATTGCTCCCTCAAAGCCACCCAAGTGGTTCTCAAACTGTGAAAGCTTTCTGTTTTCTTTTCCCTGCCCGAAAGCTGGGAAGTCTTGTTTTTTCCAAATGTTACGACCAGCAGCACTTTTCTCCTCTTGTCTGCATTGAAATACAGTAGTTTGTGTGAGTTTATGACCTGCAGTATATCAGCCTATAACAATATCCTTTGACCGTCGGATGGCACTCACTCCTAAATTTTTTGAGCTGCAGTGCCTCAGTTCTTTGGTCTATGAGCTGCCCTCCTGGCCTGTGTATTTAGTTTTCTCTGTAGGTGTAAAGACTTGAACACACCCACCCCTCCCTAAACAATGAAGTCCATTTTTTTTCACCTTCCCTTTAATTCCACAAAGAACAAGACTATCTCTCTGTGACCTCAGTTTGCCATCGTAGGCTGTTGGTGCAAAAGCAGGAAAATGTCTTGTGGCCCCTTAAGGGCCTTCCGGGGGCTTCAGCTTTCATGGAGAGCGGGCTGTTTTGCTAGATGACAGTGGGCAGCCGTCCATGAAAGTGTACGCCTAATAAACCCACTCGTCTTGAGGGTTCTCGGATTTAATTCTCCCAGTACTGCAAACAGCAATCCTGCTGAAATAATGCTGAATTTAGGCGTTTTTCAGCCGAATGTCTGAACTGGGAAGAGAAGCAAAAGTGAATGGTTTCACTGGGAAGAAACCACCAAAGAATCACAGCTCCCGGCACTAATGTGGGACATCCTGTGAAGTCAAGTGTCACTGCAAAGGAAGACTTCTATTTGGCTCTGAGATCAATAAATATGGTGACCTCACTTGCAAAGAAACGTTGTTGTTTAGTCTTTTAGTCATGTCCGACTCTTCGTGACCCCATGGACCAGAGCATGACAGGCCCTCCTGTCTTCCACTGCCTCCCGGAGTTGGGTCAGATTCATGTTGGTCTCTTCAGTGACCCTGTCCAACCATCTCATCCTCTGTCGTCCCCCCTTCTCCTCTTGCCTTCACACTTTCCCAACATCAGGGTCTTTTCCAGGGAGTCTTCTCTTCTCATGAGATGACCAGAGTATTGGAGCCTCAGCTTCAGGTTCTGTCCTTCCAGTGAGCACTCACCGGAAGGACACTGAAAGAAATGTACAAGGTAGGAAAAGCTACCAACCTCCAATTATTTAAGCTTCCTCCATGTGATATATTAGCAGAGTCTGGCGTGTTCTGGTGTCTTAAGAGAGAAGGTGGAATAGGATGATCTGCTGGGCTTTAAAAAGATGTAAGAATAGAGGCTGTCATGAATTAATGAAGAAACATGGACCTTCAAAAACAGTAGGTGTCATTAGGCAGGATCGGTTTCCATCACTTTTAGAAATTTGAATTATAATACATTTAAATTGGAGGAATGCAGCAGTGTAAAATCTATTGAAACAACTGAGATTTGGATGGCTCAAAAGTTTTGGTTCCAACCCCACCATCCCTCTGCTTACGTACTCAGTGCTTTTTGTTCTCTGTAACTGGTCTGGTTCTGGATTTGCTGTTTCCCATCCAAAATCTTTAGAAGATGAAAGGATAAAGGAACGGTTAGTCAAAAATCTAGGATTTTGGTTATATTTAATGTGTGTCTAGCGAAAGGCAAATAACTGTCTTCAGTGATGTGATACTGTTTTTTTACCCCAGGCCAGGAATGTCCTATGCTCACACTTCCTCAACATTGAAGGATCAAACTATACATCACAGATAGCACCGTCACTAGAAGCTAAAAAAAAATTAGTGTTCCAGAGACGTGGTTCTGATAGAACAGGGGAAGGCAGTGTCACTGGATTCAGGGGCCCAATTCTTGGCTAGAAAGAGCTGGTGAAAAGCAAATAAACAGGAAATGGCCAGCCTTGCACTTCTGATTACTATTTGAAGGGGGTTTATGCCCGAACATAACCACCCTTAAGCAAGTAAAACAGATGTTTTTTCCCCCCACTTTGGGTTGTAAAATAAGATGAGAGGATAGAAAACTGGGGTGTGGAGATGGAATAAGAGTGTGGTAGAGAAGATCACGGCTGGCAGGCACCCCTGCCGTTCTATGCTGCAACATTCGGTTTGAGATCCTGTTTGTAAATGTTAATAAAAAACATAAGTCAAATACATAAAGGGCATAGCTTTTTTTATGGATGAAGCTTATACATGAATGCCTGGAGCCACGTTATGTGGATGGGGGTCACTCACTTTTCCCCACATCCTCCTGTGGCATTTAAAGGCAACCTTTAAGATGAAACATGAAGGTCTACATACTCACCAAAGAGCTTTCCGTTCAAATATCACTCTCAGGAAGGATGTGGCGCTGAGAATTCCTCATATAGTTTACCCATCTCAGTGCCAGGAAATTGGGAATATATTGCTTCCGAAGTGGTGAATAGCCACGGCTAGATTTAGCCTCTCTTAATGTAATTGTTTTTTTAACCAGTATGATCTATTAGTTTCCTATATCTGGGTAAGTACCATGCATGGTACAAGCTGGGGGAAAAGCACTGGGTGAGCAAGCTTTTATAGTAGTTGCACGTTGAAGCATTAACTCTTTTCCAAAGACAGTGTTTTAAAAGCAGAACACAATTGAAAGATGGAAGTTTCTTCGCTAAGTTTTGCCCCCTCCCCTGGAACAAGCCACAAAGAGGATTAATTATTATTACAATAATTAATCCTGGCAGAACTTTGCATAGTAGCCTTTTCGGACTTATCAGAGATGACAGATATCGTTTGTACGAAGGCGCACTAGAAATGTTCCTTCCTGTAACCCACGAGCCGGGAATGTCAACTGCATGAGAAAGCGCAGAGTTACACTGCATTAAAATGCCAACCTTCTCCTTAATCCATAAAGACAAGAATGTAAATCCTGCCGCAGGCAGAAAGTTCTATTGTTAACTAAATTAATTTTAAACTCAGAGGAATTATTTTTGCCACTCACTGTATTTCTGGAAACGTGCAAGTACAATAGGTCAGAATGAATGGCAAGTTTGATTTATGTGTCCTGCTAAAGAAATACAGATAGATAAGGCGGGGGGGGCAGCAAAATCATGTCATCTGCTTACCTGCCAGCATGGCAGAAAAATCAGAATTATCTGCTGGGTGGCCAATACCTGGTTCATTTTGAGGGGGGTTTGAAGTGAGGGGCTGCCGGTTCCTTTTTTTCTGATTGAACAGCGGGACAGGTAGACAGCCTGAAAATGGGAGGTTGCAACATGAATGTGTGGTTAGTCAACTGGGAAGTTACAACAATCATCTATAGTTGATAAATGGGAAAAACATTAATAGAACATGTGCATTCTTCTAATTTGCAACAAATGTGAGAGTCAAACAACAACAGAAAAAAAGAATAAAGGAAAATATAACTTCCTGTTGTTCCAGGAACCTACAATCTGCTTTTCATGGATGGGGCAGCAGGTATATAAATGGAGAGAGAACGAAAAGGAGAGACGCATTCATTAATTGATGTACAGTAGGACGTCCATATCTGCAGTATCGCCGCAGATGATGAAAAACACAGATTGTAGCAAACACTAGTATAATAACAAACACTATACACATAGTCTCTGTCTCCCTCTAGTGGCCAGTTCTGCTAACTTAATCATTAGAAAGAGATTTTGGGGATTTTTCTTTTAAGACTTTAAATATTTCCTGATTGTGCATATGGGAATCAGTGGATACTACGAAATACCCCTTTATAGTGCAAAATACAACCCAATACAAAACTTTTTGCAGAAAATTCATTTTTTTAAATAAAAATCCGGTTTCAAATAAATAAATAATTGAGTATTATTCAAATTCTCCAGGCACAGTCAATCAGAATTATAAAAACGTCGACTGCTTCTATAGAACAGATACAAGCTTTGACCAAAAACCTCAGTATATATCTGTTAAATATCAGCAGTGTATGTCTGCTGTTCAGAATACTGCTGTTTTTTTGGTAGCTCTGATGGTGTGGTTTGTGAAATCTGCAACTAATGATCGCACTGTGTGAAATTCCGTGTTGTTATTTGCATCGCAAATTCGGCATCGATGAAATACATATACCTGCAGTACTACGAGCGGAGCTGTCTGCGAAATTCCTCTTCATCTTTTTTTAATCCCCAATACCTGTCGAAACACAATCCATACCATAAACTTGAGTGTACTGAGTCCACCCATCATGCTTCTTGAGATCAGGCAACCCATCCATGCCACCCTCGGGTGGGTGGGGAGACAACAAATCCCACCACCCCCTGACAGTTAGACATGCTATCTGGGACTGATGGGAGTTGTAGTCCCTCTGGAGCGTGGTCGCTGGGGGAAAGGTAGATTTAGATGCAAAATTAGCATGCTTTTTAAGACACTGTGTTATTTAGACTGGGACTGATGGGAGTTGTAGTCCCTCTGGAGCATGGTCGCTGGGGGAAAGGTAGATTTAGACGCAAAATTAGCATGCTTTTTAAGACACTGTTATTTAGATTGTGCTGAGGGATGTAAACAATACATATGCAAAACTAGCAAATCACACACTATACAATGTACGGGACATGTTCTGCTTGTCAAGCAAATCCTGTTAGGTTCTATGGAAATACAGAAAATATTTATGTAATATAATTTTTAAAAAATGAAACCCTAAATGCATGAAATTTTAAAAGGCAGATCTATCAGGGACAAATATATTGAATAGAATACGGGATCTTCTTTCCAAAATGAATATGGCAAAATGTATAGTTTTTTCCTTTTTATTGGAAATGTGTTTTATTAAAGGAAATAGTGGGAGAAATAACACGTTATTCCCTTAAAACAATAGTTTCCAGTTGACACCTTTGTCTAATATACAAAGACTGCTCATGATCTGAAATGGAGAACTCTATGATAGTGTTCAACCATGTTTAAAATATTTAGAATATTAAAAATTTTAACACATTAAAAAAAACCCTGTGTGTTGCATAGTCTTTATGGTGCCACAAGGCTTTTGTCTTCTTTTTTATTTTTGTATTTATTTATTTTTTGCCTAATTGGCTTGCACAGATTAACGTGGCTGCCTCTTCTAAAAGTACAGGCATCTTGTGTGTGTTTTTTAAAATATAATCTGTTATGTATATATTAGGATCTTTTTAAAAAAAGAAATGTAAATCAAAATATTTGATTCACTGAAGTCTGAAATACGGATCTTCATAGACTGTTTTGAAGCGATTTAATACAATATCTCTTTAACGTTTTAAAAAATATTGTAATAACTGATTATTTAGCTTTTAACTTTGTTTCTTTGAACACTTTTATGCCACCTTGGGTCCTTTAGGAGGAAGGCGGCATATAAACATTTTAAACAAACAAACAAACAAACAAATAAATAAATAAATAAATAAAGCCTGCTAAAAACACACACTTGTTACTACTTTTATTGCTCTTTGGCTTTATGGCTGCTTTTGCTTTGGATTTTTATACCCAAAGTGTTTCCATGTACAGTATTTCAACTGGTATTGTCTTTGACTTTAAAAAAATCTGTTATGCCCAGGGTAAACCTTGCTGTCCAGTGGCTTAATAGTCTAATTAATCAAAGAGTTAATTAAATTAGAGCCTAAATCCATGCTCATGGGGCAGGAAAAGCCTCTGTCCCATTCATTATTAGGATGAGGTGGAAGGAAAAGGGCGGGAAAAATGCTTAAATCTCTTCACCTCAGGACAGAGAGAGGGGGGGGGGCTGAAGAATGCCTAAAGAATTTATTATTATATATTAATTATTTTTAATTAATATGAAGAGGAGGGGACCTCAGAAAGGGGGGTGTTGTCTTGTGGTTGTTGGTCTTTTGTGCATTTTTATTTCTGTGAGGGAAAATTAAGTCAAGGACTATTTTCTCCTTCCGCCTCCTTCGTTTGAACCTAAAAATTTTAGGATGAGGAAAGGCTGGTTTTACCACCTGCAGAATCAAGAGAAAGGCTTTAAAAAGGCAATATATATGAGGGGGAATATTAAAAATCAGAGTTTTCCTCCACCGTCGACGGGCCCTGGGGAGCTTCCCTCAAAATGGCGCCCTCAGACTCCCCATCTAAAGGACTCCAGTTTTAACAGGTTTCATTTTATTTCTTCCACTTTTCTAGAGGAGTTTAACTATAATAATTGGCTTAATTCTTGACCCAGCACTTTCATTCACTCCACTGCTCATACTTGTGAGGAATTGACTTCATTTTTTAAAAAATTTGTTTCTGTGAAGAAACAGTATTTTATTTCCTTTTAATTTAATTTAATTTTTTTATGGCAACCCTTTCGTGGAACCCTGTATCTTCCTCAGTCTTCGCCTGATGCCCCCTTTTTTGCACCCGGTGAAAAATTAAAATCAAAGCAGTTCTGAGGGAGAGAAATATATATTTATTTTATTTTATTTTATGGGCTCGTATCAGCCATGATTATTATTATTATCATTATTATTTCCCCTACTTTTTTTCCTATTCTTATTGCTGCTCCTCCTCCTAGTATTAGGTGAGTAAAAGATAAACAGTAGAAGTAACAATAGTAACAATATAGTAATAATAATGATGATCTCTGAAATAGCACGCTCAGAGCTGCGAAAAACAGCAATATTAGGAATAATATACATATTTCACCAATATTTAATTGATATTTAGGTTTGTTATATAATACCAGTCAACGCGTTTATGATTTTGTCTGGTTTTGTTTCATATTTTTGGACCTTTTTATAATGATTGTAACATGTTCCAATATTTCAGAGGTCATTCATGACCCCTGGCTCCCAGTTTGGTCACCTCTAAGGCCGGCAATCCTCTATCAACGCCCCCCCTGAACCTAATGAGACTATATTTATTCCTTTATGTTTTTCTCCTCAAAATAAGATTTTTTAAAAGCATCTTCCAAAGTGAGCTGGCTTTTGAACAAAAAGCAGACCGCGATAGAAGTCAAGGGAGTGGGCCAGAACATGGCCATTTTGTCAAATGCGTTTAATTAAATGCAATTAGTGATGTGTTTGACAAAATGGCAGAAATAAATACAGAAGGGCCCTAGAGTGGAGGTTCGAAGTTTGTTGCAACACCTTGGTAGCAAGTGGCAAAACAAAATTGAAGTTTACAACAATAAACTCCAAGCACGAGTTTATTTACAGAAGGACTGCTGTGCGGATGTTATTTGCAAACTACTTTTGTGCATATTACGTGAAAAACACATTGAGAAATGGCCATTTTTGTGAGGCGGGGCTTTGAAAAAACTGTGCACACAAAATGAATTTAAAGACTTTTTTTAGATTTTTGTTTTAACATGGAACCTGATATTTATGAATGAATATATGCAAAAATGATGCAGATTGGAAATACAGTGGAAACCCTGTATTTGCGGGGGATTGGCTCCAGACCCCTCTGCGGATGCCGAAAAACGCAGATTATAGCAAAAACTATACATAGCATTGCACCTCTCATAGCCAGTTTTAGTAACTTCATCTTTAGGAATATATATTTCTAGGAATTTGCTTTTAATATTTTTAATATTTTCAGACTGTGGATAAGTGAATCAGTGGATAATGATCCTGTGGATAATGTGGTCTTAATGTTAAGTGTTACATGCATCTCTTTTTGTGTGGGAGGAAGGAATGGTAACTGAAAAATTTTAAATGGGAGAGAACGGTTGCAATTCGAAATTAGATGATTATTAAATTAATGAAGGAAATGGGCTTTCTTTGCACAACCAGTTCAATTTCGATCCCCTTTATTTTTTATTTTTTTCCAGAGCCTGTCGGGATAGTAGGAGTTAAATACATTCTCGCCTCCTCTAAGAATGAGAAAGCTCTTCTCAGCGGCTTTTGTCCAGAACTGTGTTTGGTATTGCAACATGTCCGGCTTGCTTCTTCCTGCGGGCGATCTTCCCCTCCCGTGTCAAACAAGGTAAATCCGTCAAAAATGATGGGCTGCCCCTCATCTAGCTTTCTGGAAAGGATTACTGGCATTTCAGGCAGACTTATGGGCCCAGGACAGGCGCTCAAGACCCACAGAACACAGCATACGCTTTGCAAAAAGCACAGTTTTCTCCTGGCAGTTTTGCAATTGTTTTGATTTCCCTTGCATGAGCAGCTCGTTAATTAATAGCCTTGGGAAACGAGGGCAAAGGACAGCACGAGCAGTACTTTGGTAGGAAATACAACTTATCTGACTGACTTAATACCTTATCCAGCACGGTTATATTTCTACAGACTTGGGGAAGGAGAGAAAAGGTGGTGGTAATATAATCAAAATAAACAGCATCTCTTGAGGTTAATGCACTGAGTGAGATAAACTGCAGGGCTGGACATGATGACTCCTTAAAACTCTCACTCTCCAGTTTTGTATCTTCCTGTAAACCCGTGAGCACACAGGTGCGTTTTTGTTTGCTGGATGCTGTAGAAACCCTTATCGAAGGAACACAAATCTTCGTAAGCATTCACTCTTCGTTAAGAGTGGGAGAAATACGGTCTTTGTTTTGCAACCCTACAGGATGATGGAAAATAGCAAATGACGGGTAATTGATTGGGGATGCACAGGGTGTCCCATACCCCACTTTTGATGAGTTTCTGGATGCTGGATGGAGGATGAACAGAGAGACGCCAATAACAGCCGGGACCTCATTCATTTCAGCCTCTTGGATGTGGCAAGTCAGTGTAAAAACCTTGTTATGTTCACAGCCTGAAATGTTGCCTTTTGAGGATACCCAGAATCCCCCAGTTATGCTAGCAGCGGGATTCTGGGAATCAGAGTACATAGCAATGTAATTGAGCCACGCTCTGGTTATGCTCAGTTGTTCCTACCTGTTTTCCCTACGTGGTTTTGTTTTGGAAATATGCATATGAAAATAACTAGTTACAGTACTGTACTTGGAATTAACTTTCCCTCCCCTTCTATCTTGGAATTATTTCCCTCCCTTCATTCATAAAGGAATAACTTAGAAGTTGTTGTTTGCATAAGGATGTTGTAAACCACCCAGAGAGGGCTTTTGAACCATACAACTATATAAGTTGAAACCACCACAACTCCATTGCATGACAATCGAAACTTCATTAAGGATAATTTATTTCCTTTTGTGGCAACAATGACCTTAAGTGTAGCTGATGGCCATGCTTGTTGTAGGATTCTGGGAGTTATAACTCCAAAAAGTAACTTTCCATTTGTAAAAAAAAATTCTTTCCATTCCTCCTTTGAAATGAGGAGCCTTCCTCTCGTCTTGAACCCTGGCCATAACAAACTGAAAGTCCCTCGCAGCTTATTTCTATATATGATTATCTAAATATAGTCTTTTAAAAAAAGAAAGGCTGGTCTCGTGGAGGGTGGAGAGTTTATAGAGGAACACCCACATTTGTAGAGGGAGGAAAAAAAATCATCTCGGGAAATGTTTATTTCTTCATTATCTTCCAGTCCCAACAGACCAAGTAAAGATCTGTCGGGATCAAAACAAGCCAGCTGAAACTTCTGTCCGGTCCTTCCTTCTTATGCCTCTTCCCTTTTCTCCGGGATCTGTTGCTGCAGGTATTGAGAGCCGCTCCGGATAAATGACTTCCTCTCACTTTGCAGAAGAAGCTCCTGTCCGCAGGGTTGCGCTCTTCGGGGGCACCCACGGTAATGAGCTCTCGGGGGTCTTCCTGGTCAAACACTGGCAACAGGAGGGCGAGCCCGAGATTCGGAGACCAGGGCTGGAGACAAAACCATTCATGGCCAACCCAAGAGCCGTGGAGAAATGTTGCCGATACATCGACTGTGACCTCAATCGGGTGTTCGAGACGGAAAATCTTGGGTGAGCCGAAGTGGTGTGTGATTTTTTTTGGGGGGGTGGGGTGTCTCTTGTTGGGGATCAGAGTGCATATGCAAACTCCGGGCAGTGGCTCACCTTCTGTTGCCTCCGGAAAAGGGAGGTACAAAAATGGGAAAAGGCTTTTAAAGGTGCCACATGTGTTCTGATTTTCGGCGACGCCTAACATAAGTACAACCCCACTGGAAGCTTTTGAATTTTAGTTCTGTTAATTGCTGAGCCTAAACTATGGAAACATAGAAGAAGCAGAAGGTGAGGGACTAATGACACCTCGCGCTCTCACTTGTGGAAAAGAAATACTGCAGAGTGCCTTCAGATGTAGGAATGGTACACTAGCAGCCACATTGGCAGGGAGTTTTTGAGCCCTGTAGTCCCTAAATACAACTTTTTCTGGCCTCTGAATGATCTGAGGGAGGAAACTTTTAAGTTAAAATCCAAGGTTCCACAGCTTTGATTCAAGTAGGATGTGAAGGTAAACCTATAAAGATATTCTTGAACATTTTTTGCAGTAGAGTCACACACTGTGATTAGGAAAGGACTAAGGGTCAGAAAAGCGTGCCTAGGGTTTTATTCGGTGTTGTTAAGCCAGAGGTGACTCCATAAAAGCCACTCCAGTAAGGCTTCCAAGGCAAGTAAGAGATCTAAGGAGTGGCTTTTATCAGTTCCAAACCCCAGGGAGCTTCCACGGCTGCATGGAGATTCGAACCCAGGCCTCCTGAGTCCTAGGCCGTCATTCTGTGTACTAAATCATAATGGGCATTCCACTTGGAATTTACATCCATTGAAGGATATCAATTCCAGGGAAAATAAGCTACGGCACAAAAGCGGAGTATGAATCAGTGCTTCGTTTACCGCAGAGCTTGTAAAAAGTTCCTGTTTTTGGACTACATCCCCCAGAATCCCCCATGCTGGGTTAGGAATTCTGGAACCGGTCATCCCAAAGAGTAATTTTTCCCAAGTCTTGTAGGTATATGAAATTAAAAAGTAATGCTTTTAATCATGAGCTCTCCATTCCTTTTGTTTTTCACCAGAGAAATGACATTGTTTTAATGTGTTTGTTTGTCTATCTTCGATACCGCCCATCTGGCTATTAGGCCGCTCTAGACACTTTACATATGAAACCTATTTATATATGTTTTGTGTTCTAACCGACAGAAAGCCGCTGGCAGAAAATGCTCCGTATGAAGTGCAAAGGGCTCAAGAAATAAACAGCATATTTGGCCCGAAAGGTAGCCGGGACGCTTACGACCTCATCTTTGATTTGCACAATACGACAGCCAACATGGGCGGCACTCTCATCCTGGAGAGTTCCAGGGATGATTTTACCATTCAGATGTGCTCTTATATTAAGGTAAATAGTTCAAATCCCAAATGAAGCGCAGTATTGTAGATAGAGGCCATGGGATCAGCAGCAAAGTCTCCAGAGAGGGTTCAAAAAGAGAAATATTTGCCCACACCCCCATAATGGAGGTGTGTGTGTGTGTGGGAGGGAAATGCTTCTTTAAAAAGTGGAATGGAGAATAATTAACATTATCGCTTAGTCTCTGTGGCCGGCATCTTCAGAGGACAAAAGTCAGGACTCTGTGCTCTGGTGCAGTTTGTGGGATAGTATCCCAGCCTGTGTGGCTCACTTCCTGCCTGTAAGTGTGAGAAGTTTTGAAATTCAACTTTGGGAACTCTTCCATGGGATCAAGGTTGTGGGCACGGGTTCAAAAGAGCTGTTAAGGCAACTTTACCTGGAGGCAGGGTGTATTCCTGATGACGTTTGCCCAGGCATTTCGTGGCCAGGTTGCAAAACTGAGCATGGAGGCTCCCAAAAGGAAGAGGAAAGCAGGGCCTTTTCATAACCAGCTCTTTAGCAGAGTGATTCAATGTGCCTAGGGGAACACAGGTAGAGAGAAGAGCAGTTAAATTTAAAAATAAATAAATAAAGCTACTGTTGATCTGGTTTAGGTTTATCTGATCAAATACACAATACATTCATATCTGGGGTGTTTAGACTTTAACTTGGTGTGGTTACCGTCATCAGTAGCCACTTTCCTGGCTTCCTCTGCGGGGGGTTTTCTTGCGCACGCACACTCTCCTTGTGCCCCAGCTGCTACTGCTGCAGCCGAATTCCATCTCTTCACTCTGCAGTTGAGAGTAGATGAAAACTGACATGATAGCCGAAGTCGAAATGCGTTGGTTGCTTTCTTCAAGATCTGTGCGCCTCTAATAAGAAGACCCAAATCAGCCTAGAAGGAAGAAAAAGGGGGAGGTTAAAGCAGTGGGGAGGGGGGAGCCCCCTTGCCTTGGGTTTTCTCTTCCCAACGAATTAACACGGGAATTGTCTTCCCTTGCGTGAGAGGGCGGCAAAGTCCGTTGGAGCATGGCGTGAGTAGGTGTGCCACCAGCCCCAACCCCTGTTTTGTACAGTTGCCAACGATGCCCTACTGACGGGAAGGCCACCGTCTCAGCGCGGGCTGCAGAGAACGCCTACCTGGGTGCTGCTTTCGTTCGATCTGTGTTTCATAGTATTTGCATAATACGAACACTCGACAGATATTTCCCCCCCAGGGTGCTCTGGCTCCGGAGGTCTGCCCTGTCTTCCTCATTGAACATCCGCACCTGAAATACGCCACAACTCGCTCTGTTGCAAAACATCCTGTGGGTAAGTGTCACTGTTGTTGCTACGTATGACGCCTGGAAGATGGAAGACGCAACCCGGTTAGGCCGTGAGGATGATTAGGAGATGAAGGAGAGAGTAGGAAGTGGAGAAAGAGTCTTTCCTAGGGGGAGGGGGGAGTGTCGTCTTTTTTCAAAAATTGAGAAACAACTCAAGATTAGCAAGTATAAAATGCAAAATGGCTTGGTCTGGAGCATTTGAGTGTGTATGTGTGTGAGAGAAAGAGATGTAGAGTGGGGAAACTTTACACTTTTTGGACACTGGGTCGTTTTGGAGAATTTGGGCCGTGCTAATACAAAAAAAAAGTAACTTTTCCAAGCATTGATGTGCACAAAAGGTTCCCATAACTGGGGTTTGCTTCACTGAACCGTGAGTGGGGGGGAAAGAGGAGACGAGAAACGCTTCCACCTCCCTCAGCTGGCTTTCTGAAAGATTAACCGGTCCTTCTCTCCTTTCCCGGGGAGGCGTTGAAGTTGGTCCTCAGCCCCATGGGGTTCTCAGAGCTGACATCCTGGAGAAGATGAGGAAGATCGTCCGACACGGCCTTGATTTCATACGGATGTTCAACGCAGGTACAGCAGTGCTCCACAGTCGGGATCTGGACCTGCAGTGCAATTCAGGGAATTTTCAAGGCACCCTCCTCTTCGACCCCCCCTTGCTGTCCCCCCCCCCACACACCGGTTTCCCACCCTCTCTCGGGGGGCTCCTGAGCAGGCTCAGTCCTCTTGATGGGGTGTGCTTGTGTTCGTTATTTTCAGCTGTTCTGTTCTTCAGAACAGATTCTGGGTGTGCCTGGTTCTTGCTTTCCACTGCCCCCCACCCCACTCCCACTTTGGATTCCAGTTCTTGTCATCCTTCAGTACCTGGGCTATTCCACAGAGCATCCCGTTCCGCCCCCCCGCCCGCAAATGCTGTCAAACTGGAACCCCTCTCATCAGCACTAGTCAGAGATGAGGGACAGAACCCCAAAAATTCCCTCATGGATTAAAGCAAACCCATATTATGGAGACTTAAGTGCCACACGTCCTTCTCAGGCATGTTTGGAACCAAAAAACGTAAATCCACACTGTGTAAAACCCATAGACTTTTTTTGTCGTGCACCTCTGTATCCGCAGAAGTCCTATAACTCTTTGCTCCTGAAAAACGCTTGCCGGATCCCACCAAAGGCCTTTTTTTAGCCCAGTTCCCACACCGGCTGACCAGCCGTCTCTGGGACGCCCATGAGGACATGACTGAAATAACATCCTGTCCTGGACATTCAGTCCCAAGCCACCGACAAGGCAGAGGCACCCTGTGGCTGGCAAGAGAGGCGAATGGAGATCATTGGTGGGGCATGCCGGGCGGTAGAATTCGAAAAACAAAGATCCAGTTCAAATCATATGCAGAAGTTCAAACAGTCCAATAATAGGCAAAAATAATATTGCATTTGAAAAATTCCTGATCACAGCTCCCATTCTTGCCTCTGAAGGTATGGTCGGGCGACGGTGTTATCTGATAAATATAATTGGTATACGTCATAGGGTGCTGAGCAAAACGAAGTTTTTTAAATGGATTCTATTGTTGCCAGAATGCATGCCATGGCTTATACCCTCCGATGAAGGTCCCTGGTTTTTGCTGTACAGATAGAATTTAGATCAGGCGCGTTACATGCCTCACTCCCTATCTGGGTCAGCTTTCAGGAGCTCACCCTTCTGCAAGAGGAGACCCTTAACGAGAAGCTTTTTCCTGTGAACAGATCCAGCTGCAGTATTAATTACCTACAAACCGTTATCACGTTAATGGTTTCATCCGTTGTCAGTACATCAAGCGTATGTTTCATAAAAATAATAATGATAAAAATAAGAGTTTTTGACATTAATCCTTGGAGACGTGCTTCTGTTTTGCCCTCAGGACAAGCCTTCCCTCCCTGCACCATCGAGGCTTACAAAATTATGGAGAAAGTGGATTATCCGAGAGGCAAAAACAACGAGATTACCGCTCTCATTCACCCTGATCTGCAGGTAAAAACAGCTGCTATTCTCCCCCATCCTGCAGTCCATCATCCTACCCCTGAACAACGACAATGTGATAGTGATCGGTGTGTACAGAAATGTTTCTGATGCAGTTTCACTGCCCGAGATGGATCCAGAAGGGCATTCCTTTTCTGCCCCAGAGTTCTTTACAGGGAAACAAGCGGGGCTGGAGCCCAGACGTCTCTGGGTAGGAATACGAGAACCTGTGGATTCTCGTGGTGGTGGACCTAAGAAGCCATTAGAGGAGTGGCGTGAGCAAGGACGGCCACACACCATATCTGTTAACCACGGAGTTTCCTTTGTTTTCTGGGTTGTCCTCAGGAAGTAAAAGGGCAGGGCCTCAGGGCAGGACCTTTGCCCATATGTACCTGTGTTGCAGTGCTTAACTGCAGAAGCTGTTCCCACGACCTGCTGAAGGTCAGAGGCCCAGTCGGGCACACAGTCAGGTCCCTTTACAGGATACTGCCCTATCTCTGTTAGTCTTGAGTCTCCTGAGAAAGAAATAACGGTCTGGAGCCAGAAGAAGAAGAAGAAGAGCTGTACTAGCCATTAGCCAGAAATACACATTTCACTTCATGCGTGTAATGTGCAATTTGACCCCACAGATCTGCTTAGTTAGAGACCCATCAACAGGCACGTGCCTTGACCCTGGACCTATTCCGTTTTCATTGGTTCTTGGACTTTTTAACCTCCTTGTTTCCCCCTCGATTGTACAGGATCAAGACTGGCGGCCTCTCCACCCTGGCGACCCTATATTTTTAACGATGGAAGGCGAGGCAATCCTGTATGAAGGAGAGACCACCGTTTACCCAGCCTTTGTGAATGAGGCGGCTTATTATGAAAAGCAACAAGCGTTTGTTAAAACGGTAAAAGAAACATTAAGTGCACGAGGCATCAGACTCTCTCAGAACTAAAATAGTTCTCTAACTGGTTCGCAACGTTTAGGACCAGGTTTGCTAACTTTTTCGCCTCTTCTAACCCAAGATGGCTAGAACAGGTAGATCATAACGCAGACTGAGAACTGAATTTATAACTGTAAGTAATATTAAGAAGTATTCTGAGCACTTTGAAGACCGTATGCACTGTCAAAAAGCTTTACCGATATGAATGTATGTTAATCCTCCTAGTTTTTAAAAATGCTAATCTTTTTTAACAGCAGTATCTGTAACAACAAGGGCACACTCTCTTTTGCTACTCACTGGTGCTATATTCAGATGTGCAGATCAAGGCAAATTGTAAGCAGTACCTGTTTATACAAAACTATTAATTTTTATTTATCATATTTACAATAAATATTTCTTTAACACACTGACAACATCGTCACAACATCCCAAATAGGTCCGAAACCCCGCTTTGGCTCTGAAGTGATCGTCACGGAAAGTAGAGGCAACAGTTCCAGAGAGACGCCGTTTTATAAGACGCTCTCAAAAAACCTGCAGTCGCAACAACGTCTGCATTTGTTTATAGAAACATCCAAAGGCACCATATAAACCATGATTTAACACACACACACACACGTACATCCCAAGACATCAACTTGGCCTCAATGAGCATTTCAAGGCACAATCTGCAGGAACCGCTGAATGAATACCCTTGCGGACAAAATAACTCTTATTTTCCTGGATAAAGTTAAAGCAGAAAATGAGGTAGCCAAAGCTTTTCGGTCCCATTTCATCTGAACCTCTGTGTCAGGAGCCAATAGTATATACAGAGTACAGTGAGTGGCAGATGGGATTTTGAAAAACCAGGTTACATCCTCCACTTCGCTCTGAAATTCACCTGGGCCAGTCGTGCGGTTCTCTCTCCTCCGCAGAGCTGGCGTGAGGACCAAGCGCAAAAGAAGAGAGCCGCGTATACTGCCTTGAACTCGTCAGAAGAAAGATGAGGTAGAGAAGTGACTAACAACTCAATCAACCTGCTAGTCCCCTCCATCTCGTACGCCTGCCAGGGCAAGCAGGGATCCAGAACTTCCAAGGCTGAAAATTTCATACCGAGGTTGCCCTTCAAATCTGAAATGTGTTCGCTTTTCGCAAGGCCTTGTTTCCATGTATGGGCACGACATGGTGAGAGTCCAGAAACAGAACAGCGTTGAGGGTTCATCATGCGAAGAAAACGAATGAATAAATATAAAAAAGAAGCCTGTGTTTCACAGAATCATTAAGTTGGAAGGAGCCTGGAAGGCCATCAGATCCGACTCCCTGCTCGATGCAGGAATCCAAATCCAAGCAGATCTCCCAGGTGGGTAGAATTGCGGGTCATCCGTTGTGTGGGGAAAGGCCCTCCCCGCCATTTCTGGCTAACCAGAAGGTCAAGCGCAGAAAGTGACCGTGTCTGCCATAATCGGACAGAGATCTCTCGGATAAGGAAGGAGGGCTGCATGTCACCATGTCTTGCAGGGAGCCACAATGCGTTTTCTGACAAGCTAATTTCCCAAGTCTCGATTGCAGAGCAGGTGTTAACTTAGAAGGCAGTATGCATTTTCTCTAGCATCTCGTTTGACCCACGTTTACGGCTTCCAAGCGGAAGGTCTGAATATCCGAAGGCAGGCATCACCCAGTGGATGCAATCTCCACTCTTCCAGTCTCTGGAAAGCGGGGCTGTCCGGGCGGGGGGGAGGTCTTGGTTGCTTCCCTCGCTCCATCCCCTCCTCCCCGAAGCAGCTGCTCTGTGCTTTCTGTGCCACTGTTCTGTCTTGCTCCCACCCCTGCTGCTACTCTTCCTCTCATCTGTTTGGCTATTCAGGCGGCCAGGACAGGCCTCCTCTTTGCTTAAGCTCCGCCAGAGTCCAGCTTAGGAAGAAAACAAAAGTGCAACAGGAATGAGGACAGTTGCAGCCACCGGCGTCCTTTTCCGTCACACTCCTGTCAAGACACCGGTGGCCTTCACACTCTGCTCTTCTCCTGTGGGTAGCTAAACAGTTGTTTCCGGCAAATCATAGATTTCTTCATACGTATTCAAGGTCGTTTTGCTGTTACTCCTCGACACCTCCTCTTGCATGTTGTTGTGAACTGAAAGGAAATAGCAAAAACAGATTTTCGATGCATGCTGTCCCTTCCTAAAGAAAAAAGCAACTTCTACTGAAAGCACATCCCACTGATTCATTAAGGATTTAATCCACCCGATCTATGTACAGGAGGTGAGGAAAAGGCCTCCGCTCACGGGAGGCCCTTCTTTCTCCATCTGGTTCACTACTGCCTGTCCTGACCGGCGCCTGGTCTCCCAGGTATCGGACAAGGGGGATCTTTCTCAGCCACTTCTGGAGAGGCCGTGGATTGTGTCCGGCTCCTTCTATATGCAAAGCCACATTTGTAGTCCTCATTACAGTAAAAAAAATTTTGATTAAAAGATAAATACAGAAAGATGCCTTCTCGCAAGTCAGATATCAGAGTCTATCCGGAACAGGACTGTTTACACTGGGATGGCAGTTCTCCAGAATTTTGAACAAGAGACTTTTCTAAACCCACCTGCAGAGACCAGGATATGAATCTTCTGCATGTGAACCCCACATCCTGCCAACAATGTTTTCTGGGCAACTCCTGGTTTAGATTTAGGAACGGTCACCTTGAGGGGTTGCACCTCAGTGCTGAGGCCCTTTTGACACCTGCACTAAAACTGTGTGGCCCGGACACTGTGCTTGTGTAGGTACACAGCATCACCTGGGCCCGTACAGTGTTGAAAAGCAACGGAGATTGTTTGGGTGTGTAAACTCTGCAGAGTCGGCCAGATTAAAAAACACCCAAACAGTTGTGAGTCTAGAGTTTTGGTGGGCGCCCGCGGACAGATGAGGAAGGGTGAAAACACATGGGACGGATCCCACCACTAAAATCTATTAGGCCACTGCTGCCACCACTCCCAAGTAAGTTGGAAAGAGTCGTGTATACATACGACCTCCAGTACCTGGGATAGGTGAGACGATGAACATGAATACAGTTAGAAATGCTGCCACCACTCCCAAGTAAGTTGGAAAGGTTCGTGCATACATACGACCTCCCCAGTTGCCCAAAGGGAGATTCCCCTCACCCACTCCTTCAGGACCAAACACTCTCTCTCTCTCTCTCTCTCTCTCTCTTTCCATTTTTCTTGGGCTGTCACCTCCCCAGTTGCCCAGAGGGAGATTCCCCTCACCCACCCCTTCAGGACCAAAACCCCACAAAAGCCTTAAAAGTCTATGACTTGATTTCTAGAGAGACAAATAGGTTAACCGTCACCTGCTGGGCCCGGGTCTTCGTTGATGAAGGCAACGTGTGTTTTCCATTCTGTCCACTTGACTTCATTGATCCTAGAGACAGAGAATACGAAGCCTGGATCACATTTGATATACGACTGGTGTTTAGGATTGTAGAGATGGACGGACTTGGTTTTTCTGTTCACGGAATGTTAAACAATGGCTCCCGGCTCATTTGAAATGAACGGGTGCAAGGGCGATCCAGAAAAAGAACACAGGTTTTGAGAAGTGTCTAGAATTATAAGTGGGTGTCTCCCTACCCACTTTTCTCTACTAAAAGTGAAGAGAGCCACCTTTTAAGCAGAGTGAGGTGGTTGCCTCAGGCATAAGAACTGGGATGTCACAGAGGGCAGCAAATTATCAATAACTGACGACATCTGGGTTTTGGAAATAACACTTTTGTGTTAAACAAGAGGAATGCATCTAATAATTAAAAATAACATTTTGAATGTAAAGTTAAACCATCAAAGCTTTTCTTTCCAGTCACTCTTCTTCAGATGCATCAGGATGCTCTCCTGTTAAGGGGAACGCAACCACGCCTTGATCTAACACGCTATGCTTCGATGCTGGTCGGCGCCATGCGCTCCTCTACCTCTGGCACCCACAGCTCTGCTCATGAACAGCCATTACCTCAGACACAACCGGGTGTCATTGTCAGCCACTTTGCACCATTCCCCGAGCTGAAATTTCCGTCGCAGGCACTTTGGTAGAAGTTTCTCTGTCTCCACAATCGTCCGTGCTCTCTAGGGATTGTAGTGAAAATAAAAGTGTCATGTTAAAAAGAAGATGCCCACTCCACTACACCAGGAAATTAACCAAGTTTTAATTAAGCACATAAGCTGGCTGGATAGCCAGTCATTTAGGTTTCTGCCTGGGGGGTCAGTGGTTGGGAGTTTGGGCACTTTGGTAGAAGTTTCTCTGTCTCCACAATCGTCCGTGCTCTCTAGGGATTGTAGTGAAAATAAAAGTGTCATGTTAAAAAGAAGATGCCCACTCCACTACACCAGGAAATTAACCAAGTTTTAATTAAGCACATAAGCTGGCTGGATAGCCAGTCATTTAGGTTTCTGCCTGGGGGGTCAGTGGTTGGGAGTTTGGATCCCCCACTGGCTGGATAGCCAGTCATTTAGGTTTCTGGCTGGGGGGTCAGTGGTTGGGAGTTTGAATCCCCCACTGGGCCTCCTGTAAAGTAGATCCTGCCTGGGGGGCCTAGGGTAAGCGCCACCCCCGGAGGGGGTCAGTGGTTGGGAGTTTGAATCCCCCACTGGGCCTCCTGTAAAGTAGATCCTGCCTGGGGGGGCCTTGGCCAATCTGCACGGGAGTCCCAAGGCACCCCCAGATGAAGGGAAGGGTCAACCACCTGAAAAGGGTCGCCTAAGTCAGAATTCCCTTGGTGGTACGTTATTATTATTAATATTATTTGTGTATTCATTTGTTAAACAGATATGGATGGCTGTTTCGGAGGACAAGGACCAGGAAATAGGGAGCATATCAAAACTCTAATCTACAGGGTCCGCTGTAACTCCTATCCTGGCACCAGAACACAAGAAAGGTAGAACCTGCTTGTTTCACTTACTCCTAAAACAGATTTTTTTAAAAATCCACAAGTTCCTTTGGTCCTGGATAAAATGGTATCTGGAAATTTTGGTCATTTTAAGAAAGAAAAACAAACTGAAAGCAACTTCTCCCTCATCTGCCCTTGACCACTTCTAAGAGGGTCCTACAACTCAGGAGTTAAAGATAAGAAGCCTTAAAAAAAGAAAGAAAAGCTGGCAACACTTCTTCTGCGTTAACAAGACAGAAGGATTCAAAAGGAGGCTTTTTAGGGAGTGAAAGACTCAAAGCCCTGGGGTTGGGTGGATGGGAAGAAGCAGCCCGTTCCGGTGTTTCGCACATTCCATCCTCCCCCCCAAAATACATTGGGTTCTTTCCATCTCCAATACAAGGAGATTCCCGGATCTGGGCCCTTCCCTCTCTCCATCAACTAAAGTAAAAGACTCGTCCATCCCAGAGAAGCGTCAGACAAGGCGGCCGGCAGTCCTGCCCTCACGAGGCCCTGGTGGATTCTCTTCCCATCCCTACCAGGAAGGCTCAGCCAGACCGACCCACATGCGAGAGACACACCTGAAGCCTCCAGATGTGTTCGCTCTCCTTGGAGATGTCCTCCACCGTCTCGCCCATCAGCGCGATCAGCATGTTCAGGAGGAGGACGAAAGTCAGGACGACGTACGAGATGAGGAGCAGCAGGAACAGGACGGGGTACTTCGCATTCTCGTGGATGTCCATGTCTCCCAGGCCTAAGGTCAGCCGGAACAGCTCGATCTCAATGCTTCCCAAGGTGCTGTAGTGGCTGCATTTGCTGTTTTCTGGACAGTTTTCAATCAAGGCCGCAAGGGCTGCGTTGAGGAGTGGGGAGAAAAGACAAAGAGAGGGTCATATGGTACATTTGGAGAAGACCTGGGCAACAGGGATCACTCGGGCAGGGATGATTTTTGGAATGTTTTATTCCCCTAACCTGATCTGGAGGGAGAATCGCACAGGATCCCAAAACTGACATCCTGGGGATATTTTAGTGGCCCAAGAAACATATTATCCAACCCTGTGTTCGGATTCTGCACCAGGACCACCAAGTGGTATGTGTTTTCCTTTTGTCTGGCTTTCTGATTTCAGTGTCCAAACCCATTAACCGAATGACCATTTTATTCACCAAATGAACCCGGGAACAAACTGTACAGACAACTCATCCTTAGACGAGGGAGTTTCTTAAATGTCAAAGATGTCTGCCAGTCAGGTTTTGTTCACAAGCAGGATGGCTCAGTCACACACACCCCTCTGGAACATAACCAGCGTTCAGCCTCTAACAATGGGACTCTCATTCTGCTCTCAAGTAAGCAGATGCTGAAAACTGGACATGGTGGTGGTGGTGGGGTTTCATCTCCAGGTTATGATTTTCCTATTCATTTGTTGTGTGAAAAGTATCTTTCTTTCAGTGTACAAGCCGGTTCCTTCCTGTAGAAAGAGCAGCTTGGCAGACCTGGAGAAGGGGCTCCCCAGGACAGCGCCTTTCGGGGTAAGGGTGAAAGGGATTAATTTCCCACCTCTGCGTGCTACAGCCTCAATCCTGTTTGTTCTTCCTACCCACTTTTTTAAAAAAAATACATTTGGCTCCTATCTTGTGAATCGTAATGTTAATGAAATAATCATTAGAGCAGTGGAATTCTGATTATTTAACATTAAAACAGTAATCAGAACGGTGTAAAAAATATTCAGATTTATACAAGAGTGGATGGTATTTTTCCTGGCAAGAATGCCGTTGTGGAAACTATTCAAACAGAACCGTTGCCTTTGGGAAATATGAAACCCACCCATCTCTGCAATTCGTTTGATACCAGGCTTGTTTTTCATTTCCAAGGAAGCGGTAGAAATACCCTTAGGAGACTGACTGGTGATTAAAATTTTGATCTTGGGATGACTTGGATGAATAACAGGATGCAAGCTTTCCTATTTCACAGAAAGTCTCATCAGGCCGTGGTTGATCAAAGGGTCTTGTGGAAACTCTGGAAGCCTGCCAGAGTAACCTACCAAGCTGTGTCCAGCGCCCTTTGGTATGACAGCCGCGGCGCAGTTTTATGACCTAACATACGGAACGCCTGCCTGTGAGCTGCGTCTCCCTTAATCATTCTTAGTCTTGCCAACATCGGTGTGTGTGCAGTATCCCAATGACATGAAAAGGTTTCACAAAACCTGGACGTGTTCATTTTGAGGGGGGGTTCATTGCAACTAAACGAGCCCCTGGAGCTGGACCCCCAGTGGCCACCCACCCATAATAGCCATCAAAGCATCTTTACCTACGCCAAATCCAAGGAGAAACACGATATACACCACTATGAACTTGATTACATCGTGCAGGATGACCTGGAAAGAAGAAGATGCCTCCGTGATTATCTTTAAAACCCTGCCGCTTCTCTAGATCTACAGGGCTGCCTCTTCCAGGGACCCAAACCTGAGTCTCTCAGCCACCCTGTGATCCTGCGGCCACCACTTGGAAAGCCAGAGGATGCAGCTGGGGAAACCGTTTGCCTCTGCCACGTTACCAGGAGGAGGCACAGTTTTGTGGCAAGGCTCCGCTTTTGCAGGCAGAAAGCCCGGAAGGACTCTCTTATCCTGGACAGACGCCAGTCTTCCCAATCCTTGGGAGCCGATGACCCAGTCTGCCAGCCAGGGTGGATCCTCTTTTTCTAGAGACCCATACCCATGGTGCTGGTGATGGGAAATGTAGTCCAAGAGCTAGAGATTGAGGAAAACTGGGTGAGGCACCACCGCCTGCAGCTGGAGGCAGCTGAACTCTGCTTTCCAGACCCAAGTGGCGTTACGTAGAACCCTAGACTTGCCTGCTGAATCATCACGCTGTAGATGCCCATGGACTGGAGACCCCGGGTGAAGTAGAGCATGTTTGCCCAACCCAAGGACATCGCCAAGACGAGGCAGGCCAGGTGCTCCTTGTAGGAGAACAGGTACAGGCACACCGAGAAGATGACCAGGACTGCCTGGATGAAGCTGTCGGAGGCAACGGAGAGACGAGGAAAATGTCAGTGGTCCTGATTTGGTCTGGACCACGTTCCTGATCCCGGCCTTCGGCCCATGAGGCGCTCGGCTCCCAGAAACCATAAACCCCTTACTGTTAAAAGAAAGAAAACCATTCAAGGAACAGGGGCACCATGATGCTAGCAAGGCACTTTCCTGATGTTTCATTAATGCTGTTTGAATATCGCCTCTACTGATCTCATCATCCTCGTAGAAGTGGAGAGCTGGAAGGGACCCTCTTGATCATCACGTCCAGCCCTTCTTACGAAGGCTCCGTGGGGGAATTGATCTCGAAGGGACCCTCTCGATCATCACGTCCAGCCGTTCTTACGAAGGCTCCGTGGGGGAACTGATCTCGCAACCTCTGACTCCACACCCAGAGGCCTAACCCACTGAGCTATCCAGCCGTAGCCATCATCCTCACCATCATCATTTTAGAACTGCAGTGCTGGGAGGGATCGTAAGGATCCCTGAGCCGAGCGGGGTGTCTAAACCCCTGAGCTATCCAGCAATCCATAGTGATTGCTGTTGGACAAAAAGAGGCATGAACAAAGCTAAAGGTAAAGTTCACTTGCCCCTTAATACCCCAAGAGCCAGAATGAGAAATGAAGTAGGAATTGATTGTTGTTTGTTTATTTAAAGTATTTGTACCCTGTCTTAGAAGGATCCAAGACAATTAAAAGACAGTATTTAAAAGCTAAAAACAGTAAGTATACAGATACTTAAAAAGGAATTAAACAAGCATTTAAAATGGAAAATAAAATGAATACTAATTAGAATTTCTATGTTATGAAAGGAATGGATGGCAGGGTTGGGACAAGCATGAGATATTCGGTTAGAGTAAGCGCACGGTTCTTGATCTGACCGAATCTCTCTGCCTTTCCATTTCATGTCAGAAATTTAAATGACCTTAAACTGCAAGCAGATTCACATATTTGAATCATAGCTAAAGTCTGGTTTTTTTTAAAAACTTCAAAGAGATGAGAAGGGGAGGGAAAAGATGAGGAAAAGCACTTTCTGTTAATCCAAGCCGTGCGCAGCCTCGAGATGGGACGCGGAGCGACTGTTTGGGCTCTCAGACACCACTTACAATGCAAAATGGAACCAGGCGTCGGAAAGAATAGACTGGAGGTCGCAAGGCCTTAGCAGGAAGATGGCCACACTCTGTGAATATAAATATAGAGAGACCAAATGAAAAACATACCCTCGGGAAGCAGCGACAAAGGCAGCACAGCCCACGGCAGTGTGGCTTTTGGGATTCTGGCTATCCGAAGGGCACATGTAAGCGTCCCGCTCTCTTTCGGCACCAAGCTACATGAAACAGCCACCTCCAAAATTTTAAATTTAATTACTCTTCTCTCTGCCTGGGTTCCCCTTTCTCAAAAGTGCAGGAGTAGTTCCTCTGCTCAGCCAACAGGTACGAATTTGCTGGCCTTTTGCGACACTCAAAATCTGCCACCTGCAGAGGCCTCCTCACTCTGCCCGATGCAGGGATGGTGGGCTGCAGATCCCCACCCCATCCTCCTCCACCAACGGACACATTGGCTGGGGCTGTCGGGAACTGGACCACAGCATCAGAAGGGCCCGGTGTTGGTCCCGAGAAGAAGCCAGGGCGGCAGGCCCACATCCCATAGGGACATGCCTTGGGTGAGTGCCTTTGGCTCTGGACAAGAGAGACCCCCCCAAGTCTTCTCTACCTGACTCTCACCTCTTTGATGGCGATAAATATGGCCCCCAGCATCACCGTCACTTGGCCCATCAGCTGTAGCCAGCCCAGGCCATTGGTCATCGCGAGAGGATACGGTGGAGGCTGCCGATCAAAAAATCAAGGAGAAACGATCAAGAAAAAAAGAGAGAGAGAGAGAGCCCAGACTTACAGCAATGCGCTATCTGTAATGCGCATTTTGGCCTGGATTTCCAAAGTGCATTGGATTTTTTTTTAAAAAAAAGGTCTGCACTGCCTCAATATTATGATGCTTCTCAACCATCTCTATTGCATTGCTATCTTTCTAGTTCCTCCTTCCGTTCACTGTGACATTCCCTTATTCAAAGTGACCTTAATCTTTGTTCACCTCAAAACCCAAGCTCCAAACACAGATTTACTAGGAATTTACTTCTGTCTCATAATTAAAATTTGCAAACCTCTAGCAATTTCCACCCCGAGTTTTTTTTTAAAAAAGTGCAAATTTTGGTACATTCTTCAAGCCCAACTTAAAATAAAATTCTCCCCCATCTGTACTGGGACAATTCAATACTCAAAGCTCCTCCTATCATACAGAGGAACATACTGTATTGTGCTTTTGGGCATTATAATTATTAAAGGTAAGAAGCCTGTTATAAAAAATGATGACAGCCCTAGTTTTAACACATACGTATTGTAGCTCACTACCCAGACATCATCCCATGCTAGACTTTTTAAGATTTAAGGGTCTTAATCGACTAGATAGGCGGGATATAAATTAAATAAATAAATAAATAAATAAATAAATTTTCTCTCCAAAATATGAAGAAATGTGTTAATTTGTTAAGTTTTTATACCAGAAAACAGTGAAACAACTCCTAATTGCTATTAATTAAACACGCAACCCGCCCGACTCATAAAAGGTCTTTAACACTGATGTCTTTTTATTTGCCAATGAAAACTTTCCACGTCCATTTTTTAAAAAAGGCAAACAATGTAAAAAATAGGATGTCATTTGAAAGACAAATGCGCATACCATATCAGTGTGAGGCCGGTAGTAGGAGATCAACGTCAATACAACGTTGTACATGAAGTACAAACAGCAGGACAGGAAGAACATGTATCGGGCGAATCTTTTCCACTTCATGCGCAGGAGAGAATTCAGGGGCTCCAGAGCTAACATCTCATGGCGATTCTGTGGAGGCGAGAGGAGAGGCAAGTCAAAAATCACCCTGGCAGTGTCGAGAAATAAACACGCAGACTGGTGGCTGAGACACAAGGTGTTCAAGACTTCTAAACCAAGCATCGCTGTTGAGGACCACAGCGTCAATTCTGGCTGGCTCATTTATCTACTTTCTCAGATTTATTGGTCACCTCAACGTTTGTATTTTTTGTAAAGTTCTATTTATTCCTAAGATTTATTGATCACTCTAGAGCTGTCAGCGCTCACACACAAAAAAATGGCCCAGAACGATATAAATCAAAACAATAGGAGCAGCAATTTAACAAACTCCTTTAATATACAAATTATTTTATATGTACTGTATTCATTTATTTTAAATATCTTTATCTCGCCTTTCTCCTTAAAAAGAACCCCATTACTGAAACAATTTAGGTTTTATTTCTAGAAGAGCTTCTGGGCTTTCAAGAACATAAGGATTCGCCGCAGGATATAGAGAAGCCTGGGTTTGCATGATCAAAACACTTCAATATCATCTGCTGTGCCTTGAATCCCTCCACGTTTATCGGAAAACCTGATGAAAAGTGGAGAAATATTCACAGCAACAGTATCTTATAGCTTATCCTTGTAATTTATGGTCACTCGGTCTTGAATGGGCAATTAAGAGCTATTGCCCTTACAAAAGATCTATTCCCAACAGGAAAGAAAATTGCCAAACTGGATTAAGACAGCAGCTCGCCTTTTTGAACTCCGCCTGAATTTTGTCTTGCGGGAGAGGAGAAGCCTTAAGGGGACGGTTGCCCTGAACACTCCAAAATTTACAACGGGACCACTGGATTTACCCCAATATTTGTGTTGTATACAATGATGTCCAGGACAGAATTCTCCGAGGTGGTGTCCAGTTCTGTCAGGTCGTAGAGGTTTGACTGGACCGGGCCGTACGCCCAGTCGGTGAATTTCCTGGAAAGGCTCCGGATCGTCTTCTCCTTGATTTCTCTGCTGAGGATGTACTTCAGAATCTGAACAAACAAGCACAGAGTTCGACAAACCAATTAAATTTTCGCAAGCTCTGCTATTAACCACTCCTGGATGTCTGGCTTTATATGACGATAAGGGTTTGCTTCCGCGCCTTGATTTTCGAAAGCTGCTCCGTCAGCTGTGATGTCTCAACGAAAAAGGTCCACGGTTGGGCAGTACCTTTATCGGGACAGACTCAAATTAGGAACTAGCACAAAAATAGGCCCGTGCAAGCTTCTGAGTTCTTCAGGATTCTTCATTTGGGAGGGATACTAAACAGGAAAGTCCTGTTGGGCCACCCGCTATGGAACCGACATCTGACATGCCCTCCAGAGGGTTCACAAAACCATCCCTGTATATTATTTCAGCTATCCAGCAGAAGGCAGTGTTGTCATTCTCAGCAGGCTGCTACAGAGGGACAGGTGCTTAGAAACTGGGTTGTTCTAGACCAAGTCTGCTCTTATTTATTATTATATTTAAAAAGTTTTTAACCGGCCTTTCTCCTTAAAAGCAAAGGACCCGAGGCAGCTTACAACAACTCAAAGGCAGCATATTAAGTAAGTAAGAAAGAGTCTACAACCCTAAAAACGTAAAACACAACACCAAGAAACATAAGTGATGCCAAAACACATTCAATGCAGAAAAAGGCGTAACAGTCCTCACCCTTCGTCCGTCCCTGCCCTCCACAGCCCACCCCTTTTGCGTTGAGTCTTTTCAGACTGTACACCTGACATTAACTGCTGGATAGAGCTGAGGGGTTGAGATCTCTGGCTGTGGAGCCAGAGGCTGCGAGTTCAATTCCCCACGGAGCCGCCTTCCTAAGCGAGGCTGGACTGGATGATCCAGAGGGTCCCTTCCGGCTCTACCATTTTAAGATGATCACCAAGGACTGCCTTCTTCCTGTTGTCTAAAATGTTCACGAAGCCTTTTTAACCCCACTAACAAGGGCGATAAAAGTCCTTAGAAATAAGCAGAGTGTTCCTAAGGCACTGCCAGGCTCTCTTCCCCACCCCCCGCCAATTCAACACGAAAGCACCCTTACCTCTAACTTCCCCGTTTTTGCAGCAAGCTGCAGAGGAGTCAAGCCCTCCTTGTTTTTCATCATTTCCAAATCCCGGCTTCTGCTTTTCATGAGGATGGCGTCATACATCGTCCGCACAAAATCGTTTTGCGTCTTGAAGTCCTCGGCAACCGTCACCAGCGCGTGCAAGATGTTGTTCCCTCTGGAATCCTGGGACATGATGTCTGTCCTGCCATTCTCCATCAGGAGCTCGACAATGTCCGGCTGGTTGGTGCAGGCGGCTAGTGCCAGGGGAGTCTCCCCTGAGGAGGGAAAGGCATAATGAACTGTAGGCTTGAGGAAGAGAGAGAGAGAAAGAGATAGAGCAGCTGGCAAGCTCCTTCTTAGACTGTGCTTCCATCTAGTTCCAAGACCCAACGAATGTGCTGGCATCTGCTTTAGCCCAGAATCAAGGGTCTCAGTTTGCTCATTTGCTTTCCTCTTCCCTCCCCATCATTTCTTCCTCTTGTGCCATGGCTTCATTGCTGTAAGCCTGCAGGTGGAGACTGTCAAGATCTTGCAGCTGCTCTGCAAGCCTTCTGGGGAAGGTTGGAAGAGGCCTCCGGAAGGGGCAGCTCGTTCTAGAGCCGTAGTTTCCGAACCCTGGGTCACCCAAGTGTTCCTGGACTACAAGTCCCAGAAATCCCGGCCAGCACAGCTGGTGGTGAAGGTTTTGGGGGTTTGCGGTCCGAGAATATCTGGGAACCACCGTCCCATGAGGGCCCTTCCGCAGGCAGGAGAGGACAAGTCTCAGCAACGGCAGCCACAGGTGAGAGGGGGAAAGTTCAGCTCTTAATCGGAACAGCCTCCCCAAGATGCTCCGGAATTTCCTTCCTGCCTCATGGTGGAGGAGCTTGGCAGACTTTGCATCAGACAAAGTCTGCCATAATGAGAGAGGTTCAGCTAAAGCTGGGAGATTCTTACCTGCTCTGGATGCCACCCCCTCGAAAAGTGGCCATGCTGAGCTGGGAGATTCTTGTAGCAATCATTTTTTTAAAGTTAACCTTCTCAGCTTCAGCCCAGATCTGCAACTCTGGGCTCCCTCTGTCCGAACGTTCCCTCTTTCCCACAGCCTGGCAGGATCCGTCGAGCCCCTGGGGGCGCTTACCAAAATAAAAACCTTCGTGCTTGTTCTTCGGGTTGAAGAAGCCGCCCCGCGCACGGGCGTTGACGTCGGCCCCGTTCTGAATCAGGGTCTGTGTGATGTCGAACTGCCGCCTCTCGATGGCGATGTTTAAAGCGGTCTGTCCTGCCGCCGTAAAAAGAAAATAAAGACTCAAATTGTTCCCTAGGCCTCCAAGGCACGAGACAAACATTGCGCACAAGGCTGTGTGTGACTCAGCGCAGAAAGGCCGCACTGGGAGGATGAACTTTGTTAAACCTTTGAGTACACAGTAGGAACCCCCCTCCCCAAATCTGTCGGTGATAGGTTCAAATCCCCCCCTCTCAGCAGATGCTGAAAACTGTGGATAACAGTGAACGCTATACAAAGCATGGTCAAAGAAAAGAAATGCCAGAAAAAAAGTATTTTACCACGTTATTGCCAGACCTGGCTCTCTTTAGTGGCCATTTCTGGTAAATAAATTGTGAAAATATGTATTTCTGGGTTTCTTTTAATATTTTCACACTGTGATAAGCAAAGCCATGAATCCCGATCCTGCGGATAGAGGGCTCCTACTGCAGGGGGACACTGCAGGATGTGGTACTCCTGTGATGAAGATGACCAGAAGCCATATTTCACCAAGAAGGCTACAGCCCAAGAAAGCCCACCATCTCTGTTCTCTGGCGTTGACGATTATGTTTGGTGAGGAAGCCCTGCCTAGTAAATCAGTTTTCGGAGCTTGAGCAGGCACCTCTGTAAGCCTCTTCCGTATAGGCTGCATTGATGAGTCTTTCCAAGATCTGATTCTCCTCGGCAAACGAAAGCAGCATAATCACGACTTCCTTTGTGTTCTGGTTGATGTTCAGCAACGCTTTCATGAGGCACGTCTTTCCGGTGTCTGAGGAGGTCATTTTTTTCATCAGATAGTCTGGGGAGAAAAACCAAAGAACAAAATAATAACAATAACAATAGCAAGAAGAAGAAGAAGAAGACGAAGAAGAAGAAGAAGAAGACGAAGAAGAAGAAGAAGAAGACGAAGAAGAAGAAGAAGAAGACGAAGAAGAAGAAGAAGAAGACGAAGAAGAAGAAGAAGAAGACGAAGAAGAAGAAGAAGAAGACGAAGAAGAAGAAGAAGAAGACGAAGAAGAAGAAGAAGAAGAAGAATTCAGGGAGATGAAAAGTAGGTGTTGGTATAAAATCATGTGTGTCCCACACAACAACAGATTTTTTCCAGGTTTTTTTTTAAAGTCCCGGTGTTCTGTTCATTGTCTCCCTCAATGAGCATTGTCTTGTTCCCAGCAATCCTTCCCCCTCGTGCGACCATCCCTTGGACTGTGTGGTCACCGGCTGCCTTGGGAACTACAACTCCCTGAACAAACTACAAGTCCCAGCTCTTTTGGCTCTGTGCTGTCTGGGGGATGCTGGGACATGGATTCGGCAAGGGTAACTTCCCCCAAACTTCCTCCTCCCTCGGCCCAGACACAAAGTATGCCAATTCCAAACCCCCACCCCACCCCTTTGTCAGTCGAGTCGGAGGCAATATGTGGATCCAAGCCAAGAGAGAGAGAGAGAAAAGGGTGGCAGCCGAGGGGGCAGCTTCCGGCCCACCTTGAACGGGCAGGGTCCGGCAGGCGTGGGAGCGCTCCTTCAGCTCTTCGAGGAGACCCTGGAGTTCCTCCCGGTTGCCCTCGGACACGGCCCGGAAGAGGTACTTCTTCAGCCTCTTCCGGTGGTGGTTTTGCCGAACGCTGTGAGAGCAGTTTGTGCTGGAACCAGGAGAGAAAGAAACAGCAGTGTCGCGCCGGGACGAGGGAAGGACGGGGTGGGTGCAGAAATGCAAACTTTCCTTCAACTACCAACTCCATTAGGTAAGTCCATAGTTTGGAGGCATTTCGTTTCCACTGCACGATTAGTCTTTCCCAAGAGCAAACACGGAGCGGGGTGTAAAAGAAGGGGCCGAGGTAGTGGGGGGGGGAGCAGTGTCGCTTCAGGCAGCGCCAATGGCTGTGCCGTCCATGCCTGGGAAGCCGGGGCTGAGCCGTAACGGGCTAATCCAGACAACAAACCTGGGTGAGCCCCCAAAGGGCGGCTATTCACCATGCCAACTGCAAGCCTCCCCTTAAGGCATGTTTTGGCAAAAGCTGCTTGACAGGAGGAGATGTTTATTTATAGCCCGTCACTTCAGAAGAAATAGACAAACCAATACCTAGAAACCAGCGGCCTACACTTTTAGACCACACACGGCAGGTGGAAATCATGGTGGGGAAGCGATCAGCAAATATAAGCTGCTGCAACGCTTGGTTTCTAGAAAACCACCGAGCAGGAATAAATTTCCAGTCCGTTTACCAATAGCTCTCCGCATTTGGGGTGTCATCCTGGAGAGACTGGGGAGAATCCATGTCTTCGCAGTTTGCCGAAGCACTGAGAGAAGGAAGGAAGGAGAAGACGCTCAGGTCAGGAGAGGAAGCCCACGGACAGCAAATAAAATGGCAAATGCTCGTATTATGACCAGAATTCTAAGACAAGCAACAAGAAGAAAATGCTCTGCATGGTTTGACTGCTCCTGTCCGCTTCTCTTGGGTCCTTTTTTAAGCACAAAGGCGGCGTGAAAAGATCTGGAAGCAAGGAAGGAAAATTCAGTGTCCCTAGTCTGCAAAAGAGGCGTCAATGGAACCTACCAAGGCCGGATATTGGAGTCCATCGGCTTCGAGAAGACGGGCGGCGACGTCCGGCTGGGCTCGACGTTGCTGTCAAAGGTTTCAATCTCGAGAAAAAAGTGTGAACTGTTGAATACATCAGGTTAAAGGGATGATTAGTAGGAAAAGCATGAGGAACGGCAATAGGATCACCTGCTTGCCTGGGTGGGTGAGTGGCTAGCATTGTGCTGTGACCATGCTGGCTCACAGGGAACCTCCATGGACAGGAACAATCTATCTGAGCCCTACCAAGGGCTCAGGCCCTCATCTTGGACTTAGTGGGCTTCCCATGTGGGGAAGAGGGGGAGGGACTCGTTATTGATTTTATACATTTATACTCCTCATTTTCTCTGATGAGCTCAAAGCGGGAGGCACAGCTCTCCTCCTTTCTTGGCTTCTTTATCCTCCACAACCCTGCAAGGTAGATGAGGCTGGTTGCATACCTTGGTGGAGATCTGGATTTTGCAAGTCCCAGTCTGATGCTCTGAGGCAGATATTTATACTGATTCACTGGGGCTCATAATGACTTTTAAACATACATTTCCCCTCATTCTATCTAAAATCAAAGAGGACAGCTGACAGAACCTCCCAGCACTAGAGTAGTCTACCTCAAAGAGCAGATAGCAGGGTTAAACAAGGAAGGGTGAGGTTCAGCTTGCGGGCTTCCCAGTATCTGTCTGGCCACCATGAGAGCTAAAATGTATTGAATGAGTTTTTAACCAGAGCATGGAAAGAACCTTTCTCTTTTTTTTTTCTTTTTGGTGGGACGGGGAGAAAATATAAAAATTTGTAACTTCTGATTTCAGTCTTATCCAGGTGGGCTCTTCCTATGTTCATAATGGCTGCCAGTTCACTAAACGAGTTTGCAGTCTGCTCACCGCCTACCTTTTTAAGCCTCCCTGTCACTTGAAAATAGATTTGTGGGTGACCGCAAAACCCCACGGCCGATGTCACCCAGGGAAAACAAAAGAGGGAAAGAAAGAAAAAGAAGCCACCCACGCGGAAAATGGCATGAGAAAAATGCTGGCGCTCATTATGAAGCCAGTTTGAAGTGAGTTTAGAGCCACCTGCCAACCCCGGGGATGATGTTTCTCAGCTGTCAAAAGGGGGTGTGCCAAAAAGATGGGAGTGCGACGGACAAGAAACACAACCGGATTTCTGGAGCTGGCCAGCAAAGAAAGTCTCACAAGTACATACACAAAAACACCAGCACAACCCCAAGGATCAATAACGGTCCTTCAGAAAGCAAAGACGGTGTAAAAGGAGGAGTTGAAACAGAATCTGAACATGTCAAGAATGTCTAGAAATAATCTGTCATTTGCTGCGTCAAGGAATAATACATGTCGGTGGCCCTATATTGATCACGGGCTGGCTGTTCTGCTAGGCTGCGAGACTCAATCTCATCATCTGTTTTTCAGCAAGCCATTCAGAAGGCAAGAGATTGCGCTGAGAAGTGGACCGTTGATCGACAGCCTAAATGAGAGATTATGAAGCCGACTGTTGAAATGTTGGGGAGATTGGAAGGGGGGATAGCAAGTCCTTACAGTTTCCCAATCAAGAAAAAAGGGGGAAATCTCCAAACCCACACATGTTTTGGCTCCTTTCTGAAGCCAGCAGCACTGAGGGTGGGAAGCCAACGCCTCACATTCTCACACACACACCCCCAGGGCCTCGGGCGTACAGATTTCGTGGCCAGCAAGGGACATTCCTCTGTGTTTACGGAGGGAAACACCCAGAAGTCCTCCCAGTTTGTGGAATGTGGAGAGTGGAAGAGAAGAGCCAAAGCCGGTGTCAGAATCTTGCCAGAAACGAGACAAGTTTATAGATTTTTGAAATCCCTAAGCAAACAGTGGAGTCGTAGGACAAATTTATTCAATTTTGCTTCAGGCCGTCTGAAAAGAGCCACGGCCAGGAACAGCTGAGTGTACTCAGTGTGTCGGTCCAGAGGTATCATTTACAGCAAAATTCAGCATCCTTGGCGGATTCTAGCATGCCAGGAGGTGGAAGACCAAGGGGAAAAAAAGCTTGAAAAAGTTCCTTTTCTGGATTAGTGGTCTCCCTGAAGTTTGAAACACAGTACCACGACCGAGCAGGTAAGAGTGTCGTGAAACCGAGCGAGGGATTGCAGCTTTCCACCTATGCAGGCTCGCTCCGCGTGGTGTGGTTTACACATCATGGGAATTTTTTCACGCCACACCCTATGTGCTCAGTCAGGAGAAATATCTCAGCCAACCTGCCTGCCTACCTTCTCCTGCCAACGCTGGAGGCTCAGATCCGGCGAACGAGCATGTCAGCCGAGGTGGTGGTGAATGGAAAAGAGGAAAGGAGGGTAGAAATGGTGGAAACCTTTTTATCCCAGGGTGTTTCATGCCCATCTGGACTTGGATTGTCAGCTGGCAGCGATGGCCCTCGAGGATCTCGGGAGGAAAAGGCTCTTCCTTCTCACCCTCACCAAGAGGCTGGTGACAGAACCGGGAACCTTCTCCGAGCTACGCCACGGGAAGACCCTAGCCTTCGTCATTCTGAGAGGCATCTTTCCTGTCCCCCTGCCTGATCCATTTCTCATCCGGGGATACTGAGGGCTAAGCCCAGGACCACTTATTGGGTGGGAAGGAGAGAAGGACTCCAGGCAAGCCAACAACGGCAGGGCTGTGAGTCGGTTCTCAGCCTAATATTAAAAGTCTTCAGGGAGCATCACATCAACAACGCATGCTAAGTGCAAGATACAGACCTAAAAATCAATGCTTTACTTGCAGCCCTTTTGACCTCAAGTTTTTCCTTTCTCCTTTTCCTACCTTGTCAGGATGTTGTCGGGAGAAACAGGGTGGGGTGGGGTGGGGTGGGAAACCTGTGTCCAAGCCTCCAAGGGATGGCTCGAACGTGTGTGAAAGAAACAGGACGTATTTACCAAGAGACCGCTACTTGGTTCGCCCACTTTCCAGGGTCGGTTTGCCCCTGCGTAGGCGTAGCTGGGTTCCTCACCGCAGGCCGCGTCACTTCGGAAAGCGTGGATCTGATCCTACTGAAAAACACACCGCCTCTGAAGTTTGAGGAGGCAGGCATCCCGCAGATGGGGGTCAAGCTGTGCCACCCACGACCACCATCGATCGCTTCATGAATAGCAGAAGGACATTTGCCTCCAGCCCGCGAGTGATGGACGGGCAGGGAGGGGGCAGAAGAGGCTGACTTTCAGGTGGGGCTTCCAGGAGGGGCCGAGTCCAGACTTGGATTCAGCCCAATCCTGGGAGAGGGAAACAGAATCCCTGCTCATTCGGATCCTGGATTTACGATAATCACCGGTGTTTACCATCGGTGATCAGCAATGGCGACAGGGACTCCCTGCTCCCTTTCTCCACCCGGAGGGAAGACTTCAGGAAGGGGCAGGGAGCCAGATTTAAAAACCGGCAGGAAGCGCTCACTTTAAAAAAAGGCAGCTCCGTCTCCAGCCCTCCTTCCACCACACACGGCCCAACTTAATCTGTATCTTCCTGGCTTCGTTAAAAGCGAAGAAAATATGTCCACCCGCTCCTGTGAGCGACAATCGACGCCCTAAATCTGACGGCTGGTCCCAACGAGAGTCAACTGACTGAATTAGAGGGACTTTCTTCAGTCAGTCAGTCAGCAGCTGATATAATGGCTCCCCTCTCTTGGGATTAAGGATCGGACTCTGACCACAGAGCCAGAGCAGGACCACAGAGAACTGCCGGAGGGGCTCAGGGGTTCGGTGATCCGGCTGTGGAGCCAGAGGCTGGGAGTTCGATTCCCCCCACACACTGGGCCTCCCTGACAGGGACTGGACTCCATGATCTACTGGGTCCCTCCCAGCTCTGCAATTCTAGGATGATGATAAAAGAAGACCGTGTGTCATGTATCTTGGAGGAGTCAGGGAGGGTTCGATAAGGGGCCGAGTTTAAAAACGGCCATCTTGTATAATTTCACTGACTAATGTTTAACCCCTCTCGTCCTCCAAGGAATTCAGGGTGGTATATAGAATTCTTCCCTCCATAGACCGTCAGACTACAACTCCCATCATCCCTTACCCCTCGCTCTGGCAAACAGGGCTGATGAGAGTCACAGTCTGAGAACATCTGGTAGGTTGCCTGTTGCCCACCCACTTCCTCTGAGCTCTAAATGGCCCCGTCGGTTAAACCAAGAAAGCACAACTGGCCCCTGACTGAGAGTCACGGCCGAATCAGGATTTGAATCCAGGCCTGCTGCCTGGTCCCACGTCACCCCTTCCACCGGAGGTGGCCTACCTTTTCTTGGTGGGAGTGCTTTCGGCTGACCTTTTCTGAGTGCCTGGAGGAGGAGGAGGAGGAGGAGGAGGCGTGCCTGGTGGATCGGGCTTCTTGGTGCCCATGAGGGGAACCGTCTCCTGGATGTCCTTAATCATCGTCCTGAAAGAGAAAAGATCCCCTCGGTCAGTGGAGGCAGGCGGGGGGGGAGCTGTGTTTGGGGGACCATGAGGTCCTGGGGGGCGGAGCCAAAAGTGTTACTTTAAGCTCTAGAATGTTCCGAGACCTTCTGCGCAAGCGCAGATTAACCCATTAGTGTGATTTCACAGAGTCCACGAAGAAGAACCTTAAAACTTCTTAACTTAGATTTTATCCCCTCCCCAACAGGAGACAACCCAAAGTTAACAAAAGCAAGAGTTTTTCCAGGGCCTTCGAGTGTGGCACACGTTCTGTGTGGCACCCCCATTTCGTGGACTCCAGTCTGTTTTGTGCCCTGCGTGGGTTCTGAAGAAGTGGCCTGCGCTCCACAAAGGTCATGCAGGATGAAAAATCCATCAGTCACTATTCTGATGCCCCAAGAGTCTTTCCCTGTTTTTGCAAGTCCGGACTAAAACACGGCTATCCTTCTGGTTAAAGAAGCTGGTCAAGTCATAGGATCAACCACCGCCCATTTCTCCGGGTGGACACAGCAAGGGGCTTTTGCAAGGCGGAGGGGACTGAAAAGGAGCCACGTGACAGATGACTTTTCAATGGCTTGGCCCCCACCCGCCCACCTACCATGGTCAGCGTGGACAGCCACAGAAGCGATAAGACAAAACGCCAGCCACTTCAGGATGAACCAAGGGGCCACGTGGCGTTTGGTGCAGCTTTTAAGCAAAGTTTGGGGGAAGCAGCAGGGCCCACCCCTTTCCTCCGAAGGAACGAAGCAGGAGGGTGTCTCTTCGCCGGGTCTTGCCCCAACAATTAAGACACGCTCAGCTGATGCAACTGGAGGCATCTTCCCCCACCCTGATCTCTCTCGCCCTTCACGCCACAACGCGAGTCCAGCAGATGATGCTGAGCGAGGTTCCCGGCAGGGTTTTGCATAACTGCCCTCCTGGCTTCAGTGGCAGCCGCTGCTGAAATCAGGAGCTGCATCAAGAAGCCGCAGAGGTATTTGTGGGAAACCAGAAGGGTTGCAGGGGTCCAAGCGCTGGGCTGCATTTTGGGGCACCCCGGGGGGTTCATGCCCGCCCTGAGCCACAAAACGAACAGGACGACCTCTTTCCTCCTTTCTCTCTTGGCCTGCCTTGGCCTACCTCACAGGGGTGTCGCAAGGCTAAAGATGGGGTGGAGAAGGGCCCCACAATTATCTCCTTTTAAGGAGAAAGGCAGGGCGAAAATATTTTAATAAGTAAAAAAGTAAGTAAATGAATACATCTCATGGGAAAAGGGGCAGCACTGAGAAAGAAATCTTTGCTCCTTCTGTCTGTTTTTATCCTCAAAATCCTCTCGGTTAACCTGCTGGGGAACACACTGGTTTTTATATATTGCAGCATGGAAGGGGAGTGAAATAGGCGAAAGATTTATACCATCTGAAGAGAAATTGGAAGGGGAGTAATTTTTAAAAAAAAGTAATTGCAGCTGCTTCTCATTCAGTTACAATCACAATGTAAGGGTATTTGCTTTACTGGGACAAAGGAAGGAATGAGAGGTTAAAATACTGGAATGTATAACTAATTACCAAGCGGTGCAATTACTTCTGAAAGCATGGGAGGGAACAGTTGGAGGCCATCATTTATTTCATTTTTTAAAAAAATTTAAAATACATTTACCCCGCCTTTCTCCTTGAAAGGACTCGCAGAAAAGAAAAGAAAAACAGCCAGATAGAGAAGTCTGCCAGGATGCCCTTTCTGTTCCTCTTCCCTCCTACCCGCTCCGAGCCTTAGAATGAATTAAATCAAGTTCCAGCAGGAAGCAGGTGATATCAAAGGTAAAATTATGCCCACAGGAAACCAGGAAAAATGGCAAGTTCTACAAATGTTGGGCTTTTGAGACGCACGCCCCACCTGTTGGCCTCTCCAAAAAAATAAAAAAGCAGAGACAGCTTTTGGGTGTCCAGCATAAGGGTGGCTTGTGCAAGAACCCAACCTTTTCTGAGCCCTGTGGGTCACGCCGGCCTGGAGCCCCTCGGGAGGAGGACGTGGTAAAGAGCAGCACGCCAAGACGTCCTATGCAGCTTCGACTCACACACCCTGCATGCCTGGGGAAAAAATATTGCGGCCCTCCTTGTCTAGGGCTCAGTGGGGAGGTCAACTCCAGCCATCTGTCTGCAGCAAAAGATCCTCAAGGGTAGACTGCTCATGAACACAGAAGCTCCATCTTTACAGCCAACAGCTAGACTTTTGCTCCTCTGAGGCAGCCGGCGTGGTGCCATTGTTGAGGCCGGCGTGGGGCTTGGAAGATCTTGGTTCACATCTCCGCAAGGAGCCATGAAAGCTCTCTCTCTGTCTCTCTCTCAACTTGATCTACCTGATAAGGTTGTTGTGATGAGCAAATGAAGAAGAGAAACATCACACACATTGCCTTGCACTCACTGGAGGAAAACGGGGCTATAAGGTCACTATTGCATGATGTAATGAATAGGAGTAGGAGTGGCCGTCTGCCTAACCCTCTTGCTTCATGCCACTTGCCCAACTTGGGCTCCATCATCAACACCTCTTGGGACAGTCAACTCCTGAAGCAAGTCACGAATTCCACAAAGAAAACACTTCCTCGGTTGTTTGTTTGTTAATCAGTCGGTGAAGTCTTACTTCCTGGTCTTTCCACGAGGGAGTTGAAGGTGGCCTATGTGGCGCTTCTCTTAGAACGAGGGGACCTTCTCACCCTTCCGCCAGGAGGACCACGCCACAGATCACACACACACAAATGGCACGCTCGAACGCGTTGAAACAGGGCTCGGGAAATGGCGGCTTTCCTGACCTTTTTGGGCTCCCTCCTCACCGGCTTGCTGTTTATGATCTAACCCCTGCTTCTGGGGTTATATTATAAAAGCCACCCCCATTGTATCCCACAAATGTGGGGGGTGGGGGTGGCAGTGGCAGTGATGCAATGATTTCAAAAAGGAGGAGCCGGGTGTGAGCGCCTCACCTGCCCAGACACGCCTTCGCATGCAGCTCGCCCCATAAAACAAATCACTAGCCGGCAGGATCCCAAATCCAAATCAATGTCCCGTAATCCACGAAAGAGTGGAACAGACCCTGGCCAGGATTTCCTGAAAGGATGCCCCTTCCTCTTCTCAGTCCATCTCTCCTCTCAAGACACACCTCGCTGTCACCCCCCTCTGTGTTAAAGCGCAAGGATAAGGTTAAGTTCTCTCCCATCGCATGGGCTTCGGTCTTGGGTCCTTCAGAATCGCAAAGCAGCCAGCTCCTCGGCTCGCTATCCAAAGTGCTGCCGGATTCCTCGCCATAAAAAACGAGCTGCCATGTGAAAGCCCGCCACTTTCCAACAAAAAACCAAAGCCATTCAAAGTCTAAAGGTTAAGATTAAGATCAAAGAGAGGGATGGTGTCCCTGTGTGTGGGCCAGAGAGAGGGAACTAAGAGAAAATGAAGAGGAAGGCGAGTGGAAAGAAGAAGAGACAGGAAAGAAAAGATAAGGAATTAGAAGACAAGAAAGATAAGAAAATGTCTCCTACAAAGCAGTCAAGTCGGGGACATTAAAATAAATGCACGTGTAACAACAGAAATGCTTACCTAGGCTAGAGCATCTCCATCTGCTGATAGGCAGAAGTCCCAACCCGGATGGCCGCTACTGATTTTGCCAGAGCCTCCCTAAAGGTGCGAAGCCTCCGGATAAATAGACCGCCTCTCGTGGCCCAGATCCGCGACCAAGCAGTCAAGTCGGGGACATTAAAATAAACGCACGTGTAACAACAGAAATGCTTACCTCGGCTAGAGCATCTCCATCTGCTGATAGGCGAAGTCCCAACTCATGCATATCAAGACAGTGTCCCATAAAGTCTGCCCTGTTGTTGTGGAGGTGAGGGATTTGTGCCCTAGAATAGAACTGCTGGTACTGCTGTTTGGCCTGTTATGAGCACTGTTGGTTCTTTCTGCTCTGTGTGACCTCTTAGTAATAGTCAGACCTTTTTCGCTAGTTGCTGCTCCATGTGATGAAAGGTTGGCTGCCACTGTTACCACTTTTGGTGCTGCTTAATATCCATTGTCTACTGTTTAATTCATGGGTCCAAGAACATTGCTAGAATGTGCTCCTCCTTCTTCCACAAGGAGGCAAACTGGTAGTGGAACAGGTCCTTTAATTTACTGGCTAGAGCCACCACTTCAGGAAGCAAAAAAGCTTTTCTCCCCTGATGGAACTCTCCCCCCCCCCATCCACCCATACATCCTTCTTTATGCCTTCCATCATGCCAACCAAGTCCTAGAACATTGGAATCACCTGACTAAGGATGGCTGTATCCCCACTAAAACCTGTGCTGCACTCTTAAAGCTTTGGAAGGTGCACATAAAATCCCACTCTTCTTCGCTCAGACCGCGACCAGGTGCCGTGTGTCCCTCAGCCGGCTTGGGCGCAGTTTCCCCGGCTAAGTATAGCTTGCACAAGGGCGAGACCCGATCCACGGGGTTGGCTAAGGAAAGAGACAAACTCGCTCAACCACAAATTTCTTGGCTAGTCAGGACCAGAGAAGACGCTTCCACCGACAATTATATATGTAAACGAGACTGACTCATCAAAACGACACCTCAACCGTCGCGTCTCAGAGCCGGCAAAGTCTCTCGTCACGTTCTGGGCCTTCTCTTTTTCATGGACTACCATGAAACAACACTTGTGACTGTTAAACTACCCTGGCCTTTTTTCCATAAAATCTGTCATGGAAAAGAAATGCCGGGGTTCCCTGGTGAGGTTCGAAGAGAGGGTGGGGGAAACTTCAGATACAAACTGTGAAATAAGGACACCCAGAGAACCGTCGCCCAAAGGGCATCCAGCCTGCAACACAGGGCATAAAAGATGAGTTTATGGGACTGCTTCCTCCCTGTAAATCTGTTCTTTACAGCCTGCAGAGTTCAGCGGGAGCTTTCAGGGGGCTCTAATTTCACCAGCATCCTCTGTCAGCCCTCAAACGCTCTTCAGGGGACCTGAAATGCTGGAGAGAGAGGTGGAATGGAACGGAGGCCTCAATCAAAAGGGCAAGGCTCGCTACAAACCAGAGCAATCCATGCTGCAACCTTTGGTTGCAGAATGAGTTTGCAGAGTTGCCTCCCCAGCCGGCTCCAAGGCCAAATAGGAAAGATTAATCTCTGCTCATTCCCTGCCCTGCCCCCAAAGTGGGCGTCTCGTGTGTGTTTTTTCAGAGATCCCGGCCACGTCTTCCACCCCAGACAAACGCACAACACACCTTGTCGATCCCGTGCCAGGGATTTATGTCCTGTCTGCAGACGGTGAGCGGCCCATTAATCAGAGGTGAAAAGCAGGTTCGTGCGAGAACCGCTGCCGTGTCCAAGGCGGGGGCCCAGGCATCCGGTGAGACTTCCACAAGGCAGAGAAGGCTGTGAAATCTCCATCCTGTGGGTCCAAGTCGGGTGGAGAAATGTGACCTTCATGCCATCGATGGCTATTGAGTGGTCACCAAGAATCCCACGAGGGTCAGTCCTCGAGGGACTCAGACCAGAGGCTGGAAAAGTTCATTTCTTTTGGACTGCAATTCCAGCAATCCACCCCGGGGGATTTGGGGTGTCGCAGGGCACGAAAAAGGTTCTCCTCCAGGCTCTGCCTCTCGGACCTGCAGGGTGAAGCTACACCTACACCCCGTAACGAGAAATGCAGCAAAAATGTTAGTGACACCCCAAGAAATTTGACATTGTTCCTTTACCAACAGTAAGGGGGTGTCCTTATGCCTTCATTATTGGAAAAAGAAGGGACTATAAATCACTCCTTTCAAGCTGGGTTATTTCAAAAAAAGACCAGTTAATGTTTCACGGATTTTTGCTTTTAAAAAGGAAAAGAAATCTTCCCATGTTCTAACATGGTACAGGAAGAGGCGGAAGGCCAAGGGGACGTCCAAGCTTACCTTCTCTGGGCTCATCCCTTGAGAACGCCAAAGCCAGTGAGCAAAAGAAGCCGCATTTTCTCCTGTTGCTGCTGTTTCAGCTTGCGGGACTTGGGAATTCCAGATGTTGTCCTGGGATGCCTCCCTCCGTAGAAGCCGACCAGCCATTCCGGCCAGCAGTCGATCTGCCTTCGAAGCCCACAAAGATGGAAGCAGGGGTTGATTTCCGCATTGGGGGGGGGGAACAACGCACCGTTTGCAGATTAAGCCAAGGGGAGAACATGCAGGCCTCTTGCTAGGGGGTGGGAAGGCATCACTGAACCAAGTTCCATCTGCTGTTTGTTTTCTAAGGAGGAGGAAAAAGAGAGGGTGGATCCGTGCGGTGCGGGCTGGAGAACCGGGAGGGGGCAAGCGGGTGGGGAACCCTTCCAAAAAACTGGTCAACAAAAGTCCGGATGTTCTCCTCTGGAATGGGCAGGCGTGGGGCACGCAGAGCGAATGTTCTCCCGTGAGGCCTCTGATCTCAGTGTAAATGTGGGTGCTGCAGAAGTTAGCACCCCACCAAGAGTCAACCTTTGCCGAGTTTGGGAGTTGACTCAATACTTAAGCTCACCTGGAAAGGACAAATGTGGAAGCTCCCACTCATCCCCCCCCATTCCTGACCTTTCTGCTCTCTGTACCTGCTCAGAGGCAGTTCTTTTTATCCCTCACAGCTATTCCCTTGGAGAGACGTGGGCCCACATTTCCCTCCACAGCCAGGCTGGCTGACAGTGGGATCGTTTGGGGCTGACTGGCACATGCCAAGGGCCCCGTGGCCAGGAGAGAACCGCCACGACTCCCAGGTACAAGGAGATCCCAGATCTGTTGCCTTTATATTTGGTCGCCTGCTTGCTTCTCATTTCAGGAGAATGGGTTCTCTGTGGTTCGAAGGAAGCTCACACCTGACGCGCATGTGAGCAGGAAGTGAAGCAGGCAAACCAAAAAGGCGAGTGAGTGTTACAGACCTAGAAGAAGGTTGAAGGGGCTCTCCCAAAATCCCGCTCTCCTGTGCCAAGATGACTGGAAAAGACAATCATGCTGGCAAAAGCTGAAGGCAACAGGAGAAGAGGAAGATGGAAAAGCCCTGATCCCTGAAGAAAAGCTGAAGGCAGCAGGAGAAGAGGAAGATGGAAAAGGCCTGACTCCCTGAAGGCCGCCATGGCCTTGAGCCGGCATCACCTGAACCAGGCTGTGAAGGAGACAGCACCTTCCGGAGAGGGCTCGTTTATAGAGCCGCCGTAAATCGGACGGCACAGACTGGAGATCATCCTGCGTAACAAAGCATAAAAATATAAGGCTCCCCATGAAAGCCTCTGGAAAGCTCCAGATGCATTAAATGAATTAAACACTTGGTGGCAGGTTTTCCAAAAGCCTATGTTTGAAGAGAAGTACAGTAGTGAGAAAAAAGACGGGCTTTTTTAAAAAAGGCACGAGCAAAGCTGATCCTTTTAGGTATGGGACGAGAGAGGCTGTGTGCAACCAGCTTCAACCAGCTCAACATAACCCACCACAGAAACTTCCTGTGCTTTCTCTCCCATGCTGTTCCCCCCCCCCCCGTGTGTACACATATACACACGCACCAGACCTGAAGGCTGATTAATGCTCAGATTAAGCTCCTTTCGAGAGTTAATCTGAGCATGGGGAGCCCTAACAGCCCACTTTGAAGTCAGATTGCAGAAATTTCTTGGTTTGGAAATTAACTTCATTTTTAACAAAAAAAACTCTCATGGCTGAAGAAGAAAGCCTTTGTGGTTTTTGACCAGCTCTTATCCAAAAGGAACCAAATCAAAACTCTCACCCGTCCTTAAGTCTGTTTTCCTCCTGCCACCATCCTTCAGATTCAAAAGCCTGTTTCTCTTACTCAGCAAGCCTTCCGAGGGAATCCGGGCTTCGCTATGAGAAGTTTCCACTTAAGGGCACTTAACACGCACAGAGAGAAAAATTAGTCACAAGCACCTGTGGAAGGTTCCATGTTTCCTTCATTTTATTTTGTAATATATTCTTATACTCTGCAATATTAGGAAAAAAATAAACTTTTCCAAAGCAAGTTACAGGGACGAATAAAATCACTAAACACACAGTGAGGCAGTCACAGTAACACATAATAGCAGCCAACAGCAATTTTTAAAATCTTTTTTTGCTTGTTTTAAAGTTTCCCCCAGTTTGCCAACAAAACGCAGTGGCCTGTTTTGATGGGGGTGAAGGCACAAAAGCTGCTTTGGGGAGCCTCCGTGGCCCCCGGCCATTCTTTGGCCTATGCCTGCCCGAAGGTTCAACTGGATCCGCTCCTCCCCACCACTGAGGACCCCAGCATCATCCGTTCCCAGCGATTTCTAAGCCCAGTGTGGTCCGCTGTGGGTGAAAATCGGGTCCTGAGCTCACTGGAAGTTCCCTATTCGCATTCTCTGCCTTTCTCAAAGGTCCACGCAGCCCACCTCGCCCATCCTTTAGAGGGACCGGAAGAGGGGAAGATAACAAAAGTTCAATAAATACAGTGCAACTAAGAGTTAAGGGCTAAGAGGGCCCGAGGGCTTTCGGGCATCTCTGAGGCAGATACAACAATACGGGCTGAAACTATACAACAGCCCGCCTGCTTAAAATCCAATGCACTTTTTACCGAGATGATACAGAAGCATCTGGAATTATCTGCTCATCGCCTTCGGTCCACTCCGCAAACCCTAAGATCATAAGACGGGGCTGTAAGTGGAAGACAAAATAAAAACACCCACCTAGAATTAGATCCACACACTTCTTTCTCTTTTTCTCCAGCCGATATTCGAAGTGGTTAGAAGCTCACAAGGCCTAAAGCTGTTCTTGAATGCAAGGAATCGCTTCAGAGGCCCTTCCCTCACCCGGGGTCCTTCCGAAGCCCTGGACTATCACTGGGGATGATAGGTGCTGTAGTCCTACTCATCCGGAGGACACGATGTCGAGGGAAGTATCTGGCTCTGCTTGGCAAGAGTTTCCCAGATCTTTCTGGCAGCACCCCCCCCTTCAAGCAACAAAACACGCAAAGGGTGGGGTGGGGGGAATGGAGATGATATAAAAGCAGACCAACTTGGGGAGGGATTTCTTCCGGATTTCTGGCTGATCTGAATCCGTGTCGTCTTCCGAAATGGGCTTGAGCGAACCCTCTCGTTTCCCATCTCGCAGGATCGGCACAAGAGTTCTCCAGTTTTTCCCTGAAACTGACACAGAAACTCACTTTTTAATGCAAGGTCTTTTCCTGGACTCTGTCCCTCAAACCCTTCCTCTCTCCCCTCATCCTGCCTTCCATTTTACAAACTGTTTATGGTATAATATAAATCTTAATATGAAACAGTATTAAGGGGTAACGGCATGGACACTGTCAAAGGAATCCTGTGTTTATATTCTGATAACCAATCATCAAACATAAGCAGGTGAATTTTCAACTTGCAAGGCTGTGAAATTTCATAGCTTGAAAGACAAAAACCTATTGATTCTTCAGATAGCTCTGCTGCCAACTGCAAAGCTGGCATCTTTTTTTTTATTTTGCGCCCCTGGTGTTGAGAGATGAACTTCTGATGCCCTGCAATAAATCAGAAATCGCTGCATGCTGTCCGCCCTGAAAATAATTACCGGCAAAATCAGGCAGGATCTGACTGTTGCAAAGTTGTTCCTGACTAGCCCTCTAAGGCACCCAGTTTCCTCACCTCTCCCGGGCTTGAGAGAAAAGCTCAGGTTTCGTTTCAAATCTTCGTTGCAGCCGCCGGGGTCTTCGTTGATGATGCCCAGGTTGGTGTTCCATGTGGACCAGTTCACCTCGTCGACCCTGTTCGAAGAACGCCAAGAAGGATCAAGGCTGCTCGTACAGCTCAGCGGAAGGACAGGGGTCAGTTCTCAGACACGTCTCATGACCCTCCGTGTATTGCGTGCTTCAAAACTGCAGTGACGATACACAGCAGTGACGATCCGTCTTCAACATTTTAAGTGGTCTCAAAATTATTTTGCACACTTCCCTGTTTTCGTCTTCAGCAAGAGCATGTGTTTTGTAAGGCTAATGAGTCTTAATTGTTCACTCGAGGCTAAGTCGTGCAAAACATATTTTGCTCAACAGGGACAGCTGGCGGAAATCTCTTTCGGCTAGGAAAAGCCCATCTCTAAGCCACTGCTTCCTGCTAAACTCAGAGAGAACCAAGAACCCCCAAAGGGATGGCAGAAGGTATAACGACCCTCAACTATCGAAAAGTCCTGGTGTTTTGAGCTCAAGAGCTCAAAACTCTGCCTCCTGCCCAAGACCCCGAAAATCATCAAACTATCCCCCCCTCCTTGTTTTATGCTCCGTGAGCCAAGCTGCGAAATAGTTGGGGACGTGGAACCACATTTTGGAACGACCACGTTGTCATTACTCAAGAGTCAAACACATGCTTTGCGTGGACAAAGGGCTCCGAACCCCCAAGATGAACTAAAAATCATCATCACCAGTACTACCTGAAGCACCAACGGTAATCATCTTTGCCGTCAGGGGTTGTCCCCACCAAAACCTCCCTCCCGGACCGGAATGGGTTGACGATACAATTCCAGTAGCTGTTCTCGATGTTCAAAATGGTGATGGCTCGCTGTGTGTTAAAAGGAAGAGGGGAGGGATTTTTTTTAAAAAAAAAATAGAATTGGGCGTGTAGGTTACGACAGCGGTGGGAGGCTGTGGCCCCTCTACATCTACTCGGCCAAGAAACCCCAGTCAGCCAAATCAACAGCAAAGGACTGTGTGGATTTTAACCCCAAGTCTCTGGTGGCCCCAAGATTTCCCTCTGTCTTCAAGTAAACAGATGATAAATTTCCATCTGTCCTGGTAGCCAGCACAGTTGAAGGCGAAAGATGACAGGGACTGAGGTCTAATGCCACTGCGGATGGGGGGATATGTTTCCCTGCTCCTAGATTACACAGAATGGCCACCCACTTGCCAGCATTTTGAGACAGAAACGGTGTCCTTCCCACCCAGCTGCTCACTGAAGCTTTTGGCAGACAAAAGTCTGCTCTCCAATCCTCCGGTTTACTCTGTTCCGTCTTTCAACATTTTAAGTGGTTTCAAAATAATTTTCCATTATTCAGATTCAATTAGCTTCTCTCAATGTGATGTTGCGGATTGTAATCCATTCCCCCAAGGTCTGGGGGTTAGCAGGACTGCAAGAAATAAATGCACCGAGTGCCTTCCGATGGGAAGAAAGGTGCCTTCTCTAAGCCTACCAGGCGAGAGCTGAAATTAAACAGGACGCATTCTGCGTACAGAGCAGGGGTCCTTCCACAAACCTGGGCCTTCCCCTCCTCATCAAGGAGCATGCGGAAGACGTCTGGAATAAAAATCCCAGGCAGAAAAGACACCCGCCCCCAAACCTGGGCCTTCCCCTCCTCATCAAGGAACGTGCGGGAGACGTCTGGAATAAAAATCCCAGGCAGAGAGAGAGAGAGAGAGAGTCCGGCTCTACCTGGAGCTTCCAAATGCTTTTGCTCTCCTGGGCGATCTTGTTGACGGTTTCCCCCATCAGGGCGATCAGCATGTTCAAGAGGAGGATATAGGTGAGGATGACGTAGAGGACCAGGAGGGTGACGAAGATGGGCTTGAAGCGATACTGCTCGGTGAACTCCAGGTCGCCCATGCCTATGGTGAACTTGAAGAGCTCCAGGCAGGTGGAGTAGAGGTTGTTGTAGGAGGGGCGGCGCTTGAGCTGGTACGGGCAGTTGGTCTGGTTCACAACCTCCTGCTTCTCGTCATCCTCCTCAATGAGGGTCACCACAGCTATGGGGAGACAGGAGAACGAGAAGCACATGGCACTGGCCGACTCCCAGAATCCCCGTCCTGGCAGTGCAAAAAGAAAGTGGCCACCCAATATGAGGTCGGTACAGTGGGACCCTCATATCTGCTGGGGATGGGCTCCATACATACACACCCCGTGGATACTGAAAACCACAGATAATAGTGAACTCTCTCTAGATAGCTTGGTACAAGGAATCAGATTTTTTTCCACATGCATTACCAGAACTGCCCACTAGAGGATGTCAGAGACCATCTGATGTATTTTTTACTAACAAGTATTTATAACATGGCCTCTGTCACCCTCTAGTGGCAAATTCTGGTAATACATGTGAAAATAGTTTAATGGGGTTTTTCCTTTTAATACTTCTAATATTTTCAGACCGTGGATAAGTGAAAGCATGCATAGTCATCCCCAGTATACAGGGGTCCTACTGTATTCAGCATCCATCTTTGCCCTCTCCTGCTGCTCCCATGACAGGGAGGCAAAAGAGAGATTCAAAGTACCTGTGGAAAAGCCCAAATGGAACAATAAGTAAACCACGATGAAGCGGCAGAGGTCTCTCAGCATCATCTGCAGGAAGAGAGGAAGAGCAAGAGGAGAGTGGTGATCATAGCCCAAGGGCAACTACAACACGTCATCCATAAGAGGGATCTAGTTCCCGTTTCTGCAAACAACCTCTCCTCACCCCATTAAGAGCAGAAAGGGGACTCCGGGATGCTCCGAAAGAGAACCGTTTTGAGGAGGTCCCCTAAAGCAAAATGGCATACATAATGCTTTGCTGAAATTCACAGTCAATACTCTGTCGCATGGGTTTGTTTGAAAAATCAGAAGCACAGGAAGGGTGCTTGCCTTTTTTAAAAAACGATCCTCCCATCTTTCTATGCTTCCAGTGTCTCTAAGCTTTGCTTCTCCACAGGACAGGCTGCTCTAAACTGACAAGGGTGGCAGATTTACTGGATTTCATTTACATCCTGAAACCGCAGGGAAGACGGCTTAGGCCGAGAATTTAGCTGCAGGAGGTTGACTGATTAAAAAAAATCTCCCCCCCCCCAACCCTGTGCTTCACATTCAGGATAAAAAGTATTTGAGATTTGGGGAGGGGATAAAATTAAACATGGAGAAAATCAGGACACATTTCCCCTATCCTTCCTTTAAAACTATTCCTCCTTCAACCAGGACGGACCTTCTCCAGCATGACGGAGTAGATGCCCATCTGCTGGAAGCCACGGGTGTAATAGAGCAGGTTGGTCCACCCCAGCGCCAGCGAGAAGACCATGAAGACCACGTAGAGTTCTTGTCTGCTAAAGTAGAGCACCAAGGCGCCCAGGAGTAAGAGCGAGTGGATGAAACTGGAGCAGAGGAGAGACAGAGAGGAAGGGAGCAGGATGAGCCCACCAAAACGGCTTGAAGGTCAAGAACTAGAGTTCTTGTCTGCTAAAGTAGAGCACCAAGGCGCCCAGGAGTAAGAGCGAGTGGATGAAACTGGAGCAGAGACAGAGAGGAAGGGAGCGGGATGAGCTCACCAAAACGGCTTGAAGGTCAAGAATGGCATAGCCGGTGCCCGGAGTCAGACCCCAAAAGGCAGGACAAAAACTGGGGGAATCTAAAGGGCCCAAAAAGGAGATTCTGGCTAGCCGGCAGGAGGACGTTGCACAGGGAAGGAGGAGCCTGAAAATGGAATGGACTGCCTTAGAAAAAGCAAAGTCCCCTTTGCTGGAGCTTTTCAACGGAGGCTGAATCCACGGGCTTCTGACCAGCAGCTTGTTTTAAAAACAGTGGGTATAGAGGATATACTTACAAAAGGAGTTCACTGTAGCTATCTGTGAAGATGGCTTTCAAAGACGGGCGCCTCTGTTTGAAGTATTTGATCTGCAAACGCCAAAGAAGAAAGGAAAGAGAGAAGTGGGTTTACTACCCTTGGAGGGCTGAATAAAGTTTCCCAGTGGGAAGAACAGAGAGCGAGAGCGAGAGACAAAATGTGGGGCCCTCTTCTCTCTAGTCTCACCCACTCTGGGTTTCAGTTCTATCCCACGGCATGTGCTATAAAGTTTCCCAGTGGGAAGAACAGAGAGAGAAAATGTGGGGCCCGCTTCTCCCTGGTCTCACCCACTCTGGGTTTCAGCTCCGCCCCACGGCATGCACTTGGTCTGCTCAAAGATTGCCTCCACGGGAACGTGGCCCTGATGGGGGGGAAAGGGCTCCAGGTGGCAGTGGCGGCTGCTTTTCCCTCCTGCCCACCCCCAGGAGGAAAAAGATGAAGGGAAGTGGTCACCCCCAGAGCGAGGCCTGGGCGCATCCCAGCTCCTGATTCAGCGGGGCTGTTTGGAGATGGACCTGGACAGGATCAAGGCTGAGCTCAAGCAAGAAAAACAGAATTTCAGAGTTCTCGTCTCACTCACTCTCTCTGTCGGCCACGATAGCAGGCCTTCCCACCCAAGTCTTACCCCTCTGAAAAAGAAATAGAAGCCTCCCAGGACGCTCAAGATCTCCCCAGTGACTCGGAAATACTCGCCGGTCGTGTGATGGAAGGCAAACGGAGGCTGCGGACAACGAAACGCACAGGTGAGAGAGACCCTCCCCTCCTTCAACCCGGTGAAGAGTCTTGTACCGTCCGGGTACTACCACCAGGCCCTCACCTCGAGGAACCGACACAGATATTTCACACACCCCCAAAGGGAGAGGGCTCTTCACAAATAAAGCCAGAGGGTCTTACGGCAGGAATTGCCGTTTATTCAATGGCGAGCCCTTTATGGAGACGACAACACCCCTTTCAAACATGAGGTACAGTTACTTGTGGGTCCGAAGGGGAACCAAGAGGTTTGGGGGTCCCAGGTTCTAATCCCACCAATTCATGAGAATCTCCAGCCTAGCCTACCTCGCAGGCTTGTTGTAAGGGATAACAGGAGGAGGAGCAGGAGGAAGAGACTCAAGTCTCCTGAAGGAAAGCAGCATAAAAATGGGAATTTTAAAATCCAGTGTCAAAGGAGGGATCCAAATGGAGACTCATCCGTTAGTTGTAGAAGGGGTAGCCGTGTTAGTCCGACCAAAGAATTATCAGTCAAAACAAAATTAAAAAAAAAAACTTAAAAAGGCAAAAACATGGTGGCACCTTAAAGATTAACTTGTATAAATTTTAATACGAAAAAGGACACACACAAAAAAAGTCAGAAAAGCTCACATTTAAAAAGTATACAGAAGTTAGTCTATAAGGTGCCACCCAGTTTTTGCTTTTTAAAAACTTTTTAAAAACTTTGTTTTCACCAATAATGCTTGTTCGTTAGTGGCAAATAGCAGCGAAAGCTCCCCCACGTCTCTTTCATCCGCGTTAACCACGCCACAAGAGCGAGCGGGAGAGAGAGAGAGAGAGAGGAAGGCCACCAATAATGCTTGTTCGTTAGTGGCAAAAAGCAGCGACAAGCTCCCCCACGTCTCTTTCATCCGCGTCAACCACGCCACAAGAGCGGGAGAGAGACAGAGAGAGAGAGAGAGAAAGGGGAGAGCAGCTTTTCACTCCTGGAAGGGAAGGCACACCCCCACCCCGAAAGAGGAGGGGCTGAACTCTACCGTTCCGTGTTTCTTGGTGGGCCTGTAGTAGGCGGCGACAGTGAGGATAAGGATGTGGGCGGCGTAAACGAAGAAGTTGAAGTAGAAAAGGTGTTTGGCAAAGCGGTCCCACTTGTCCTGCAGGAGCTGGTTGAGAGGCTCCACCAGAAGCATTTCGTGACGGTTCTGGAAGGGAAAGGAGGAAGACTAGACCCCCGTGTGGAGAAAACAGGCCAAAAAAAACCCAAAAAAACAAAAACGGGGTTTTCCCCCTCCCCTCTTGTAAGACAGAAGGAACACACACACACCCCTTATCTGCAAGATCAGTGTCTGTCCAAGGTCTGAAAATACTAAAAGAAAAATCCTAGAAATGTATATTTCTGAAGATGAAGCCACCAGAACTAGCCACATGAGGGAGCCAGAGACCAGGCTATGTATGAGGCACAGTTACTTGTGGGTCCGAGGGGGAACCTTGAGGTTTGGGGGTCCCCGGTTCTAATCCCACCAATTCATAAGAATCTCCAGCCTAGCCTACCTCGTAGGCTTGTTGTAAGGAATAAAATGAGGAGGAGCGGGGGGGGAGAGGAAGGAAGCGCAGGCCACCCACCGGTGTCTCACTGCTGTAAGCGATTATCTCCAGGACGGAATTTTTCTCGCAAGTGTCTATGCTGGAGAGATCGTACAGGGAGGAATGGACCGGCCCGTAAGCCCATTCGGTGAACTTCCGGGACAGATGGCGGCATTCCGGCATCTTCATCTCCCGTCGGAGGATATAGGCGAAGACCTAATGCCAAAAGAAGCAGAAACCGGATGGCAACGTTTGTGGGAAAATAAGAATCCCTAGGCGTTGAAGGCATGAGCAAAGAGGAACCCCCAAGTATTAAGAACCAAGAGACTGCTTCCCAGTTGAGTTAATTACAGGCACAACATTTCAGCACACTTGGGAGCATGGCCTGCGTCACAACGACACCCTAACACCATCTCTAGAAATACCCACGAGAAGGCTACCCGCCCCGCCCCAAGGCTGAGAGGGCTCAGGGTGGTTTGAATCAGCGGCTCCCAATCTGGAGGACCCCAGAGGTTCTCGGGCTCCAACTCCCGAGAAATCCTGGCCAGCGCAAGGGAGTGGGGAAGGCCTCTGGGAGTGGGGAGCCCGAGAACTCCAGGGGACCCCAAGGTGCAGAACGCCTGGTGCAAACTTCACGGAAGAGAGTCTGCAGGGTTCTAGAACTAGATGGATATAAACGCCCCGACTCTGTACAAATGCAGACGGTCCCTGCGTCTCCACCTTGAAAAACCGCCGTCCCCAAACCGTCTGCGCCATCAAAGGGCTCCGGTGAGTCTCAAGCAACTGCCAAGAGAACCGGCTCCTTAGTCAGCCCTTTTACAACGGATGCAGGGTTTCGGATGCCCTGTTTCCGGCCAGCCTCAGTCGAGGGTGAGTCATGCCGTACACTATCTCCCGGCACGAGGCAGGGCAGGATGATGACCGCACTCCTGATTCAGAGGCGCCACGCCCTCAGGTGAGGCGGCCATCCCTTGGGGACCCAGCACGCCTTCCCAGAAAAGACGTGGCACGTGGGAACAGGGGCCACGGCAGCAGGGGATCCCTCCAACTGTTCTGCCCTCTTAAGCTCGAACCTTCCTCTCCTCCTCCTCGGCCCCCTCAAGACTAAGAAAAAAACATGGCATCAGATTTAGCTTTTCTTGAAAGCAGGAGGTAGCTGTGATGGGACCCAGCACGCCTTCCCAGAAAAGACGTGACACGTGGGAAAAGGGACCACTGCAACAGGGGATCCCTCCAACTGTTCTGCCATCTTAAGCTCGAACCTTCCCCCCCCCCCCCCCCCCCCCCAAGACTAAGAAGAAAACATGGCATCAGATTTAGCTTTTTCTTGAAAGCAGTAGGTGGCTGTGATGACCACAGACATAAAAGGCAGCCTGAGTCTCCAAGAGGGATCGTTTGGATTCTCGAAACGGAGTATCCAAGTTTTGTCTCTTTGGTTCTTTCTCTTTTTTTCCAGAATGCCTAGCCGGGGGGGGGCAGGGGGGGCATCATTCATTGGGAGTGAAACAACTTCTGTGAGGAAAGACTGAAAGAGCTGGGCATGTTTTAACCTTGAGAAAAGAAGATCGGAGAGCACTTTTCAAAGGCTTGATAGGTAGTCTTACAGAGAGGTGGGGCAGGATCTGCCCTCCACTCTCCCAGAGTCCAGGACATGTCAGAAGGGGTTCAAGCAACAGAAAGTCAGATTTCTGTTGAGTATCAGGAAAAACTTCTTAACGGTTGGAGCAGTACGACAACGGAACCCCTGGCCTCAGGGGGAGGTGGTGAGGGGTCCAACACTGGAGGCCTTCAAGAGAAAACCAGGCCACTCTCTGGTCCGATCTGCTTGGATGTGGATTCCTGCTCTGAGCAGGGGGGTTGGACGAGAGGGCCTTCGAGGCCCCCTTCCCGCCCCATGATGATCCCACCCACCTGCAACTTCCCAGTCTTGGCCGCCAGGGTCAGCGGGGAAAGCCCTCGGCGGTTGGCGATGTCCTCCAGCTTGAGGGTGGGGCTGACCCGGGCTCCCAGGATGAGGATCTCGTTGTAGATGTTGGTGACGAACTTGGTGTTGTCCTCCGTGTCGTCGGCGATCTCCACCAGGGCGTGGAGGACGGTGTTGCCCATGGAATCCTGAGCCGCAATGTCGGCCGGGTGGTAGGGGTTCTCCAGGAGGTACTTGGCGATGTTCAGCTGGTTGGTGCAAGCGGCCAGGGAGAGCGGGAGCTCACCTGAGGGCACACAAGGCAGCCACCCGTGGGGGGGGGGCCACCACCGACACAGCCCACGTTACATTGGCAGGAGGTAAGACGACAGACAAACAAAAACACACACATACACACACACACGCCTCGGGTACACCACAAGGCCAAAGAGGTGCCTCAACCCAGATCCCCACCAAGGAAGCCCAAGCAGGACACGTGTCTGCAGGCGGCTCTTTCCTCAGCCCTCCTTTCTCACAGATAAATCATGATATAGTAAGCAACAGGGACCATTATTATTATCATTATCATTAGTATTAGTATTAGTAGTATTATTATTAGTGGAAGTATGGATCCAGATGTTTTAAGTAAAAGAAAAAGACCGGTGACCGACTTTATTAGTAGTAGTAGTATTAGTAGTAGTATTGATCCAGACGTTTTAAGTAAAAGAAAAAGACCGGTGACTGACCGGCTGGGCATGGAGAAGCCTACCGAAATAAAACCCAGGCCTCCCTTTGATCTTCTGGAAGAACTCCCCGCGGGCTTTTGCGTGGACGTTCGCTCCGTTCTTGACCAGGAGTTCCACCAGGTAGCAGTTCCGCCTCTCGATGGCGATGTGGAGCGCCGTCTGACCTGCGAAGGGGTCAGGGCGGTCAGAAGCCGAGGAGGGAAGAGGGCTGGCAGCAGAACTCGGTTTCCGAGCCTTAATCCCTTCACGCCAGTAACAGGATCAGGGCCACCCCTTTCATGGTTCTTCAAATCCTCCTTGATCGGAGGAGTCCTTCCCGATACAGATCGGTAAATCTCTTACCTCAGGGGACACTGGCTGGGTGCAAGGAAGCCTTTCGCCCACCTTGCTCCTGATCCAGACCCCCTAAACCACCAGACGGATCTGCCCCTTCCGAGGGGCCGCCCGGCTCTGCAGTCCATGCCCCTCTGGACCACCGCTTTGACAAAGGTTCTGGGCTATTTTATGGGTGAGGGGTGCGCGCTGCAGAGCCATTAATGAATCTCAGAAATAAGTAACAAACACAGACCTCCTCTTCCGAGCCGTTCGTCATATGGTGACTAATTCACTACGGGAATTAAATAAATAATGAAGGATGCGATCAAGTCACCCTCCTGTCAACTGATCGGCTACAGCGCTCGTTGAGTCATCTAACCGTTGTAGCTTACAGGTTTATACTCCACATTAGGGCCTCCTGCTGGGGATTAACTCTTTGAGCTTGGGACAGTTAACTTCATGGATAACGGCTCCCCACTTTCGTCTGCCACTAACATGGTGCTGGCCCAGGGGGAGAGGGAGTTCTGTTCTCCCTAAAGTAATTCTTCCGTTCTCCAGTCAGTCAACAAGGCGATTTGAGCTCACCTGGAACCGCAACGTCTCAGGGGTTCCAGCCTCTTCCTCAGCCAAGCCCTCACAGGAAGAGCCCCCCCCACCTCGCACTGCAACCTCATGCCCACTGATCCCTTCCCTCACCCTTATAGTAGCCGTCGGTGTATTCAGCGTTCACAAACTCCTTCAGATTCTCTGTCTTCTCAGCAATCTCCAGCAAAAGAGGGATGGTGTCATTCCAGCCGTTATGAAGGTTGAGCATGGCTTTCAGCAGGCACGTTTTCCCGGTATCTGGCTCTGGAAACAAGCAAGCATTGCTTAATCGGGGTGACGGGGAGGGAAGGCAGAGCTTAGAAGAACCGGCTGCAAAAGAACTGGTTATTTAAAACTCTTTCCTTTTTCCAAGAACAAGAAGGGCAGCCTTGTTCTGCCTGTGGCAACCAAAACAAAAAACAAAAAAACCCACAGACTCCTGAACCGCCTGGAAAATGAACAAGTTTTCTCTTCCACAGACTTCAGCCCACATCTGGAAGAAAAAAAAGTCAGCCACCTCCCCGAATGCCATCCTGGTCCTCAAATCCACAGAAGGAACAGAGGCAGGCAGGGGGTCCTTCCCACTTTTACCTTTGAATTCCTCATCCGTCAGGGTCTTCAGCGTCTCCAGCAGATACACCAGAAGGTCATCCAAATCACTGGGATCGCCCTTGGCCACTGCCTCAAACAGCCTCCTCCGGTCGTAAATCTTAAACGCCTTCTCGGCCCGTACCCCGATGGAAGCCGTGGACATGAGCCTAGAGCAGAGAAAGGAGATTTCCCCCTGGCTGACGAGGATCCGAAGGTCAAAGGTCTCTGCGAAGGTCAAAGGTTTCTGCCCTTCCCCTTTGGAGATGGTCAACCCCCTTCTCAGAAGAAGGCACAAAAGCTGATCAATCAATATCCTCTGGTCTCTTATAAACCTTTTGTCTTAATTCATTGCCCCACTCAGAACCCTAACACAATAACTGAGGCTCTGGGACCCTCACCAGCTCCTGTCAATGAGGCTCTTGGAAAGGGAGGGTGGGGGCCACCATCCAGAAAACGCACTTTACAAAAGCAATTTTGCTGTCCTCTCTTTTGGACCATAGCATGGGGTGCCGCGACAGTCTTTAGTTCCCAGCAAGTGGAGATTCACTGAAACCATGGGATTTACTTAAGTGTTGCCTCAACACCTGGCGTACGATTCCTCCGGCTGTATTTAGGACTGTATTCCAAAACCTTGATGTCATTTATCATTACAGTTAAACCATTAAAAAAAGAACACTGTAGAATTTTAAATTGTTTCAAAGTATCAGAACTATTTCTAGATTCTTATATCATCATCATCTTAGAACTGCAGAGCTGGATGATTAAGCCCAGCCCTTGTCAAGGAGACCCAGCAGGGGAATCGAACTCCCAACCTCTGGCTCCAGAGCGCCAGATTCTTTCACCACCACCGAGCTCTCCAGCTCAAGGCAGGTTTATTTTCAGCATCTGCCGATACAAGGTGGGCTTGAAATATACTAATTAAGGAAAGAAAGAAGTATATTAATTAATTCTTACGGTTTTCAATAAGTAGCCTCTTACATTCTCATGTCTCCAAAGGAAATAAAATAGTTCCTTATAGTTACTTTTAAAAATCTGGATGCTACAAGCTGATGGCCTGCAGAACTGGCACTTCACACTTGCAAAAGTACAAATTTGGGGCAATTTTTTTTCAAAACCATCAGCTCTTCCCTTCCGCTTCTCAAAAGCAGGCAACCCCGTTTCCCCCCATTCATTCTTAAAAGTGATTTGTCTCCATCAGCACACACCGCAGTCCGGGACAGCGCCCACCACACGGGATATCCCCCCTCCCTCATTCGGTCAGGCCACACCGAGGTCCCTATCGAAGGAACCAAAAAAAGTTACGGTTACACCGCAAACGTGTCTCCGTTAGGCCAGAGCTGCTGCAAGAAGGGAATGCGACGCGTCACGAAGGGTTTTTTCCCGGGGAGTTTTTCTTGAGCCCGGCTCCCGCCCGACCCTGAGCCGCACTCACTTGGCGCAGTGGTTGCCGCACCGTCCTCTTTCCAGGCTGAGGCTGAACTTAATGATGGGGCTGGAGACCAGGTGGTCCATTTGGTAGAAGGAATCCATGGGGGCCATGTCCTTGTCGCCGTCGCCGATCCCGAACCGCGCCCGCCTCGCGAAGAGGCCGTGCTTCGCCCCTGCCGCCCTCATGCTGTTGCTGGGGGTGCTGGAGGCCGAATCCTCGCCCTCCGTGTGGTCGTCGGTCGCTTCGGAGTCATCCAGGTCGGAGCTCCCGAGCTTCCGCATCTTGCCCAGGATTCCCGACATGGTTGAGAGAGCAAAGAGTTGCCCCCAGAAGCTTGACGGCGACGTCTAGGGTGGGACCCGTTCGTCGGTTGGGCTGGTTTTATTGAAAATGTTTTGATCCCCACCTTTCTCCTTAAGACAATATTTAAAGTTAAAAACCAGGACATCTATAAATGCTTAAAAGGGACAAACCGACACGACACTAAAAGACAGGGCATAAAAGCAACACCAAGAACACATTCCAACAAGCAGGAAGGCACAACCGACGGAGGGTTTAGGTTGAAAACCCTCTCAAGGAGAAACAACAAGCCAGCCCAACCCGCGTCCCACGTGAACCTCTTAAAAGTGGCTGTTTAATCAACAGCCGTTAAGCAGGTACCACGGCCCAGATTTCGGGGATCTTGTTTTAGATTATATCTCCCATGAGCTCTGCTGCTGGCTGGCTGAGGGATTCTGGGAGCTGAAGTCTAAAAAAGGAACTTAACCCAACTCCGAACCAGGCACCCTAGCACAGAACGGAAAACTTTAACATAGAGTTTGCAGAGTAACTCTTAAGCTTGTGAATATAGGCCGGTTGCTTTGGGAGTCACAAAGATGGGTGGGAGAAAAGGCGTGAGTAAACCGGACATTATCCACAGGACACGAGTTCTAAAAATGACTGATGGGCATGAATGCATCCACAATCAAACATAAACTGAAATGTACAAGCCACACGTGCATGAGAAATGAAGACAAAATGCTGGACTTACAAATCTCAGCAGGCGTTACCTCCCGCTTACTCAGTTATTTCAGCAGAGTTTTTGCCTTCCACGCCAACGTCCAGGTCCACGTCGCCCCTCCTTAGGTGCTCTCCGTAGTTGGGGCAGGACAAGAGATGGAAGCCAGGGAGGGTGGCGGTGGTTTCTTCTCTCTTCCCCTCGCTCCTGGTTTCACAGAGACCGGCCCGTAACAGCCGCTGAGTTTTGAGCGAGCAGGCGATGATGCTGAGAGCTACCCGGACTTTGAGTAAGAGAATAATGGAAAAAGACTGCTCTGGAAACCAGAATCAATTGCTATTCCCGGGAGTCCAGCAAAGCTTTCTGCAAACAAATTAAACCAGGGGAAGGGGGGGGAAGGACTTGGCCATGTTTGAGGTTTCACATCCCCCCCACCTGCCTTGAAGCAGAAGAAACTTCAAATTCCTTTCCGAGAAGGAAAAATGCATTTTTGTTTTGCCCTGACTTCTAATTCTTTCTTTGTAGCTCAAACAGCTTTCGAATTTCTTTTTAAATGTCTTATTCTACCTCTTTGTCTGTCAGGGAAGAAGGTGCAGCTCCTGGCTTCCCATGTTATCTTCACGACAACCCTGTGAGGCAGCCTGTAGTCTTTTGCCACTTGGGACAGAAGGATCTGTCAATGATGTCTTTCCATTCGGAAGGGGACCAAGACTGGCACTCAGATCTTGCTTGAAAAGCCGTGAGGGGCTTATATGCCCCCAAAGCAAGAAGCGAGTTTAACGGAGGCAGGGCAGGTTCTGTGGCATGAATAGGTTCTACTTTTGAGACAAGGAAACAGGCAGCCAGTTAGCTCTTCCTAAGAGGGAGGCTGTTGCTGCCGGCTCCCAGAGCCCGCCGCCTGAGGCAAGCTCTTCACTCTGTCTATGGACACAGCTGATCCTGGGAAGGCTGAGAGTAAAACAGAGAGGCAAGGAAACCCCGTTATCTCAGGGGAAAAGATATATTCCAACCATTCCTTTAGCAACTGTTTTCTAACTGCTCCTGTTGTGATGCAACCCATTTCAGGGTAATTTGTTCTGGAACCTGTCATGAAGAGCCACTGACTTTGCAAAAGACCTGCTCCCAGTTGAGCTAAAACAGCCCAAACCAGATTGTTAATATAACAGCCCTTGTTTTTTGGAGTCTCCTTGGAAAGGGGTGCCAAAATGCACAGCCCCGCTGTCCCCACAATCTCTCTGGAGATCCCACTCTGGGAACTGAGGCTGCTTTTCCTTTTAACCAGTCCTAAGGTGCTCTTCACTCACGTTCCGTCCTTCTTGCTTCCCCACCGACTCAATTCTTCCTGCCGCAGCAAACCTGACTGTTCCACCATGACCTCATCAAAAAGCCTCACAACAAAGGGATGTTGCATTTCCGTTGATTGTCCCTTTCCTTTTCAAAAAAAGCAATCATGTTACTGCTGTCGGTCTTCGTTTTTAATTGTTATTCTTTATTTAATTGCTCATTCCTTGGACGACTCTCTGGAAGCTTGGTTTACTTCTGTTTTAGACAGAAGTCTGGCTATAGTGCAATCCGGGAATGAGATCAGAATGAAAAGAAGGGCCTGTTTTTTCTTTTTAGAAAAGAGAAACATGACAGGAGCCGAGCCAGGCTGGGGAATCTGCACGGCAGCCACCAAAACCCAAGCCAAAAGGTATCTGTGGGCGGAAAGGACTCCCATCTGCTATATACAGATTCAATCATCGTTTGGCAGGGCAGGATGGAATGGAGTAATTTAAAAAGGGTATGGCTGGCTTTTTCGAAACCTGAATAGGTGATGTCCATTAAGGTTTTCATTCAACTCTTCTCTCACCCACCGTCACACTAACAAGAGGCTTTTCTCGAATTGTGGTTTGAAAACGAAGCAGCTGGCACAACCTATATAAAGTGAGAGGCAAGGAAAACCCAAGCCAGGCGTTGCAGAGAGGTAGCAAACCCAAGACTTTATTGTGTCAATTTTCACAGCCACTTCAAGGCACGGACCGCGCTGACATCCTCACCCTGCCTGAGCGCGTCTAGTTTGGGGGGAAAAAGCAGGGCTGGACCTGCACGATCCTCCTGCATGGGAGAAGGCAGGAAAATTCCAGGCTGGAAAAGCTGGAACTAAACCGGGTAGATGCTTGTCTTCTAACCTTTCACTGCTGAACCAGCCCTCCCACCATCTGCTGAAGCTGCTCAGATTAGAAGGCAAAGTGGCAGCAGCCGAGACCGGAAACAAGACAGCCATCTCTGGTTTCCCTGACGGCAACAGAAACATGGAATTACCCACCCGTAAGTGAGAGGGAAAGAGAGAGAGAGAGATGGGTGACCATCCACCTCCATTAGATTGTCCCTCATGCAAATAGGAACCAAGGTACGATTTGGAGGCATTTGGAGATGAAGAGGACCCTGGTTAAGGGCAGGAAGAAAAGCCCTGGGTTACGTCTGGTATTTTCATCCCTTTGGCAGTAAAACCGCCAAGGTGGGGTGAAGTAGGAGAAGGGGGTTCGTCTCAAACAGGGCTTGTCAGAAGCCGTGTTTCCCTGTGGCCCAACTTCTTCCTCTTTTAAGTTCAGGCTGAAAGAGAGAGAGCGATCTCTTTGTCCCAAATCCTCTGACAGCTAAAGCCTCTCTTGCTCCGTTTTCTAGCAGCGTAAGAGCAACATACATGTGCAAGCCGCGCGTGGCTCATTTTGAGCTCGCCGTGTTTTTGCGCAACGTCAAGGGGGGGGGTCTCTCTGTTGCTTCTCTTTCCTTCCCACTATCTCAAAAATATTAGGCCTTGGGGGGGCCCTCCGCCTGCAGCATCTGCTCCTTTGAAACAGAAGGAATGTTCCATAGCTCCCCGCCAAGTCTCGTGTGACCTCACTTCCTGCACAGCATCGCCAGGGCGGCACCCACCGCCGCGCTTGCGTCCTTCCCATAGATGACAGGAAACGGGTAGGCCTTCTCCACCTCCTGCCTCATGGCCTCGTTCTTGGAGAGCCCGCTGCCGCTGGCCAGGATCCGCCGGACCCCTGCCTCCCGGAGGCGCTCCGAAGGCAGCATGGAGTGGAGGTTCTGGATCACGCCGCGGCACAAGGCCCTGGTCACGTGGCCCAAGGAGAGGCCGGAGGCTGCGATCCCCGTCACCGAGGCCAACCTCGCAGGGGCGTGCCGCTCCCCAAAGACTGTGGGGCAAATAGTGAAGCCGGGGTCGGCTTGGGCCGCAGCAGCTTGGATCACGCGTGGATAGAGATCCGATTCAGAGGCCTGGAGCCCTGCGCAAGAGAAAGACGAAAAGGGTACCAAAAGTAAACTCTTTCAGCCCCACACAGGGAGGAAACCAAATGATTTTGCCAGCTGCTCTCACTCTCTCTCTTCTTAAGGGTTAAAACAGATGTAGCCACGGCCTTACCATTAAAAGCAGATTTCCCTGAAGAGATTAAATTCATTTGCCGATCCCTAGTGTGAGTCTTCTGAGAGCTGCAATTTGTAAATCAGCTCACTTTTGTTTAGCAAAGGACCCATCACTGGCAACAGAGAAGGAAGATGAAAGAGGCACTGTCCTGACCCGAACGCCGCTGGAGTTCTGACCGCAGTGTCCTTTCTTGCATTTGATGTCAACTCCCCCAGATCTTACACATCAGAATACTGTAAAGGGGCATAAACCACCACCTAGGAGGCTGATGCTTCTGAAGGTTGTTTTAAGCCAGCCTCCCTAAAACCCTAACCTCCCACATGTAGTGGCTGGGGATGATGGAACTGCAGTCCCATTAGTATCTGGAGACCAAATGCCATTAATTATTATTAATTAGCTGAAATGGCAAGTAAAATGCTTAGAATTTCATTATCCCTCCAACTATCCTCTATGGTTAGGCTATTTTAAAGGAGAAGGCAGGGCACGGAGATAATCTAGAAAATATCACCGCCAAACAGAAACCGGAGCTCCTGCCTCCATGGCCGAAGCACAGAGCTCCAGCTGGTGGGCCTCACAGCGTCTCAGGGTTCAATGGGGGGGACCTTGAACGCTGCAGCAGAAGGCCAGGGAGAAGCAGAAAGTATATGGGGAGCCCTCCTCCCGCTTTCAGACCACAGGTGGGGGCTGGGCGAGACTGAATAAATGACTCCGTAGCCATCAAGCCATTAAGCAGCTGAAATCCTATGAAAATGGAATGAGGGGGGAAATAACTGAAATCACCATTAAAGGGCTCTTTCCAGGCTGCGTTAAAAGGGTAGAAAAGAGCCATTTCCTGTGGTTTGTGGACTAAGGCAAGTGGGTTTGTCTTTCAAAAGGATGTTAAAAAGGGAGTTGTTGACGGACAAACTGATACATTTATTAGCTCAGGGTTCTCAAATCTTGCTGGAGTACAAATCCCATGGCCCTTGGCCACTACTGACCAGGGTTTCTGGGAGTTGAAATCCAACGATATTGGGCAATTGAAGGCTAGGCTGGGTTACCTCTGAATCAGCCCTACATGGGTGTGAAAAACTCCTCCCCTCCTGGAAGGCTTTCAGGAAGTGGGACGTTTACCAATGGTTTTCACTCCCCTTTGCTGTTTGGTTATTTTCTCCCTGTCTGTACCGTTACATTGTTATTTCGGGATGTGTTTCCAATTCACTTCCTCACTGGCTAGGAATTAAAGTTTTATTTGCTCCTTAAATTTTTCTGTTGGCCCCAAAGGAATTTCTTGTTTGAGGAAAGTGGCAAGCACACTTTGTAAACAACCGCTGCTCTTAAGCTGGTACTTGGAAAACAGGGCTGACAATCCCGACCCGCACATAAACGGGGCCTTGCTAATAAAATTTCCCCTGATCATTAACTGTAACATGAGGAGGAACAACCATTTCTTTTGGGGTGTAACGACAATTGGTTTCTAGTTACTTCCCATTGCTATGCGGGGCCTCGCTAATTCAACAGGCTTTGTAATAAAAGCCAGCCACAGCAGCACTCTGAATATTCAGGCGATGAAAAGGAAATTGTTTTAGATACTTTTAATAACAAGGAAACAAAATGATTTTACCCAGTTCTGCCATCCACCTGAGCAGCATGTTCACAAAGACTGCTATCACGTTACCGCCGTTCAGGGACGCAGCCACCGCCAGGTAGCGGTTTCCAAAATATGGATAATAGGCCACAGGCGAAGGAGGGTCTGGAGTGTCGCCGGGCTGAAAACCCACCGGCATCAGGATGGTAAGCTGTGCAGACGTCCCAATGTTGAGAACTAGGAGGAGGGAAAAGACGACAGAGGTGGGGAAACCACGCAGGCAGCCAGAGTGGGAGGGCCCTTTCTGAGAAGAGGCAACTCCGGCCCTTTACGAGTGGATCAGGGCCTCCCAAGTGGGCAAACTTTCTGAGAAGAGGCAACTCCGGCCCTTTCCGAGTGGATCAGGGCCTCCCTACACCGTCCGTTTTCGGTTGTCCACCCTAAATTCCCTCCCACGCCCTGCCCAAGGAAGCCTGCCAAGTTCTGAATTTATATTTTAGGCACTAGGTAAGCTGCTTCTCTCTTTCCAGGCATTTGAAGAGGGGTTTCATGTTTTTTCGAGTTCTTCAACTTGGCAGATGCAATGATAAAAAGCCAAGCATGGCATAGTAGAAGGAGAGTCAGATAAGGAATGAGAAGAAGCAGATTCAAGTCCTCCCTCAGCCACGGGACAAGTTTGAAGAGAGGCTAGAATGAGAATCTTCTTTCCCACAAGGCATCTGAAAACATATTGTTTTATAATATTGTCTACTGAGACTAAGAAATGGATTCAGATCAATGGATTCTTGGCCATGAATGGTGAGTCTTGAAAACTGCTGCCTAGGGAGCAGAACTCTAAAGCCATAACTAAATGGCCCTTTCCCCCCCTAAACACAGAGCATATTCTTTCTGACGAAGCTACCAGCTTCCCCTCCACGTACCTGCGTCAGTATCTTCAGGCCTGCAGGAGTACACCGAACACTGGAAATCTCCCAGGGCGGCCCCAACTTGTGTTGCCTTCGGTATGTGGTGCCAGGCGTAAGAGGTGTGGCCTGCGATGCCCCCAGGCTGGACCACTTCAGGGAGGAAATGGACGGGGAAATGGGATTCTCCGAGGCTGGAAACGGGAGGCCGAGATCCAAGCCCATCAGTCCGTGGGGTAACAAAAGGAACTCAGTCTCTGATAGGTCATGCAGAAGAAAAGATGGCAGGCGAACCGGGACATGCGGATTATGATGCTCAGATCACAGTGTTAAAGGGGAACTCCCTAAGACAAACTGCAAAACCCAAAAACCGACTCACACAATTTTTAGACTAAACTAGGCCCTCCCTGGACCTTTCTAAAAATGGTACTGAGAGAGCCCTTGTTGATGCCTCCGGCGACGACAACACTGCACCGTGACAGATCATCTCCCCATTTCGACCGGGCACAAACCGAACAGGAAGGCAAAGGGGAAATGTTAACAGAACACAACGGCAAAACCAGGCAACAAAGGGTGGGGAGGTCGACCAAGCAAGCTGGCGGACAACCATGACCATGCTCCACACCTGTCCCGAGGGCCTTAGCACTTGGGTGACACCAAGAATATCACAGAGGCTCTTGGACGAGATTGGGTGTTAGCCTTTCCCTCGGCTTCAAGCAAAAACACCTCTTTACTGCGAGAGCTGATTGGGGGAAACGCAAGCGGTTGTGGTGTGTACACTGGGCATTGTTCCCTGAAAGTTCTTCCAAAATGGGGAGGGGGGAGGGACAGTTAGATCTGACAGGAGCTCTTAATCAGGCACCCCTTAGTCAGGACACGCCACTTGGCACACACGGTTAGTAATCACAACCCAAGGAGACAAGCCATGCCTTTGGTTTTCCGCCAACCTTGAGATGGGCTACCGAGGAGGAGTTTGAGCTTCCTGGCCAAGGAACAGAGTCCCAGGTCCACGGGGAGTCTAGACTCCGGACCCTGCAAAGAACAAGCCAGGAGGGTTCAAAGCAACACCTTAAACAAAACCTTTTGTCCCCAGCGAGTTCAACCGGACGGACTCCCAGCTCTGTGTGCCTTGGAGGAGCCACCGTCAAGGGGAACCAGACCCCAAACCTCATGGGAAGGACTCCGCCCTTTTCATTCTCCGCTTTATTATCCCAACACGTCTCCAGGAGGCCATTCTGGGAGATCTCCTTCAAACTCCACTTAAAAAAAAAAACAACAGGAAAAAAGATAGTTTTGGATCGAGGAGTCCAAGGGAGAATACGTGTGGGCCAAAGCTTGCATTTGAGAGAGATGGTATACCCATCATCATCGCTCCGTTCCTAAAATCTGGAACTCCAAAAATCTCACACCGTTTGTTTACTTTTAAAAGGTTAAGGCCACCATCCTCCTCCCGCTCCCCCACAGAAAAGCTCTGCTGGATGCCACTGGATTTACTTTTGAGTAAGCCTCCAGAAGAGACCGTGCTCTCTGAACCTGGCTAATGGACACCAAGTCCTTTAGCCTTGTTCAGCAACCTGATGCCCTCCGTCTCTGTCTGCAACATCTGCCCCGACTGACTGGGCTGGCTGGGAAGGATAGGTGTTGTAGTCTAACCAGCCGCATGACTTACATGTCCATATTCCAGTGGCTGCTTGTGGTGTTGAAATAGCCCCAGCTTGCGGCGTTCTGGACAGACATCCGTGGCCTCTCGTGGCCACACAACATGGCAACCACATAGTCGTGGATGGTGCCTGCCGCGTCGTACGGCTTCAGGAAGTCCGGGCTGTCCAGAGACAACAAAAGGAGAGGCAGTGGGCACGGGCGCTTCCACACACCTAAAGACAGCGCCGCCGATGAAGCCAGGAAGCTTGCAGTACCTGTTCTTTAAGTACCAGAAGACGGTGGCGCAGCCATACCCTGTCGCCACGCTGAGGTGCGACCGTGGCTGAGGAAGAGAGGACAGGAAGTGGGCGCCGCAGCGGGCATCTTGCCACGTGACGAGGTGACTGACTTCTGTGGGCTCAAACCTCCAGCTATGTCCACTTGCAACCTGGGGTGGGCAGATGATGAACCAGTGATGGGAGGACGAGGGTGGCCACTCAAAATATGCTCCAGGTGACCAAACGCCCCCCCTCATGCCATAAGGAGACAAAGGGGTACACCAAGAAGCCCCCCCCCCACCCCCACCCCTGAAGTCTTCAACGAGAGACAGACACAAAGGTCCCTCTTCTCCTCCCTCCCCATAGAAAATCTCGGACCCTGCCTCCCACAACTCAAAGCCAGAAGCACTTTTCTGGGTCTTCCCTTCCAGGCAAGATTATCCTCAGATAACGCCTTTGTTCTGCTGACTTCTCATCCTGAAATGTGTAACACCGGTGGCTGAAAGTTGAAATATCACAATAACTAAGCAAGGGTGTGAGGAGAATTGCAGCCGGATGTCTTAAGGGAAGACGGTGGCGCAGCCATACCCTGTCGCCACGCTGAGGTGCGACCGTGGCTGAGGAAGAGAGGACAGGAAGTGGGCGCCGCAGCGGGCATCTTGCCACGTGACGAGGTGACTGACTTCCTTGGGCTGAAACCTCCAGCTATCTCTGTGCTCTGTCCACTTGCAACCTGGGGTGGGCAGATGATGAACCAGTGATGGGAGGACGAGGGTGGCCACTCAAAATATGCTCCAGGTGACCAAACGCCCCCCCTCATGCCATAAGGAGACAAAGGGGGACACCAAGAAGCCCCACCCCCACCCCCACCCCTGAAGTCTTCAACGAGAGACAGACACAAAGGTCCCTCTTCTCCTCCCTCCCCATAGAAAATCTCGGACCCTGCCTCCCACAACTCAAAGCCAGAAGCACTTTTCTGGGTCTTCCCTTCCAGGCAAGATTATCCTCAGATAACGCCTTTGTTCTGCTGACTTCTCATCCTGAAATGTGTAACACCGGTGGCTGAAAGTTGAAATATCACAATAACTAAGCAAGGGTGTGAGGAGAATTGCAGCCGGATGTCTTAAGGGCCATGGGCTGCTAATTCCTGTCCAGTGGGGAGGCCTAAAAAAAAATATGGAAAAATTGGGGGGGGGGGGTAA